TTCCCTTCCAAATGAGGTTATAAAACATGCATAAATCCTGCTTTACTGTCAAAGAGAGGTGTATTTATATATGTGTGTGTCTGTGCCTGCGTGTGTTTGTGGCAGACACAGAAAAACAGAGATTACATTGAGCTTCAAAATGTGCTCTACTTTCTATCATATCTGATAATTGTTTGCCTCAGACGCAAGAACAAAATCCTCCTGATAAATTCCCCATTGTTGGGTATTAATGCTGGATCATCTCCTGAAAAATAATGTGAGAAAAAGACACATAGGGAGAGAAAGAGAGAGAGAGAGAGGTGTCAAAGAATATGTCTAGGCTTGAATTTTGTATGTGGACACATTGCCATCTAGTGGTGCAAAATGGTACAGCATCTATTTATAAGGAACCAAATGATCCTCATATGAATCACATTTTCTTGCTGTGAAAGTTTGTTTAAATCTGTGCTTTCTCTTAACCCCATGACAGTCCTCTCTTGTGTGCCTCTTTATGTAGTCTGAAAACAAATGGTGCAGTCAGATGACTTTAACAACCACTGAGGGACACTCAGCTATCAGTCAACCATTACTGACTAAACTGAGACTAAAATCAGACCAAGATGAATAACAGCTTTATTTAACAGCGCTGTATTGTTTTGATAAAAGACATAAAACATGGAAGCCTTCAGTGGGAAGTAGGTTTTTCCAACCTCATATACAAGACAAATATTTTTACAGGGGATGGTCAAAATTCTCCTGAACACAGTAGGGGTGAACAGACTTGAAATTATGAATAGACAAAAGCATGTCTGTGAAGGTAGAAGAGTTTCCTCTGTGTGACAGCCTACTCAAAGAGCAAAAACATCGACCATATAGTCTGTTTTATTAGTCTCAAGACATAAACACTCAATAATGGTTCACCTGAAAGGAAAGGAAAGTGCGGTTTTATAGGTGCTTCAAAATGAAAGAGCAATATGAAGAATTCAGAGATGATGCATAGAGAGTTTGCTGCAAATCAATACGTGCCTGTCAGCAAGAGATGTGCACAACACATCTTTTAAAATATCCTCCCTGTGGCTCACATATCAATACTCTGACAAAAAAATCTGCAAATGGAACGGAATAATTAATGTGCTCGCAATGCAAATCAACTTGCTCCAGCTGCCTCCGATAAACTGAATAAGACAAACTGAACTTTTTAATAAACTGCCTTCATTCAAGGCTGCTGGAGGAACTGTGACTTGCCATAACATGTTATTGGACTTGATAAAAGGATAGGAAAAAAAAGAGGAATAACGTGTGTATGTGAGTGCATGTCTGTGTGCACGCGCGTGTTTGCTTCATTCTTATCTTAAGTTGGCATGTGATGAAAGGTGTCTAATCAACCGCTACATGCATATTAACTTGGACAGGATTTGAGTGTTTGCTGCCTCTGCCTGCTGGATGACACTGTGGCAGAGATCCGTGGCGATGATGTCACCCTCGTAGCACGCTCCTCAGCGTAGACCTCATGTTTTTGATATAAAGCTGGCTGCTCATTTGCCTGTGGCTGTTTTGGTTGCCTGAGTATCAGTAAGGAAATTTGATTTATAGTATAGCACAGCCTGCACAGATTAGGCAGCGATAATGTCAGGTGAGATGGGATTACTGATTCATAGTGTTCGCTGTGATCAAATAGGGAGATTTTTGAACTGTCTGGCTTATTATTAGCAGGTATGGACCTGTTCTGTTGGAGGGATTTAAATCATGAAAACAGTGTCATAACAACTTCCAAGTGCATGATGTAAATGCGATTAATTTTGGTGCAGTTACAGAATATGTGTCAGAAAAAAACACCTCTAGGTGATTGCAGAAGACTCACAAAAACACAAAAAGTGTCTGCGTGCGTCTTCTACCCCTGTCCTCCATCTGAACTAATCCCCTTCCCTTTTGTCTGCTAGCGTTCACAACAAAGCCACTTGTCTCTTCTGCTGCGGTTTACGTCTCATCAAAGGTGTGATCCACAAGTCCACCTGCACCTTCAAGGATCAAAGATATTTGAGTGTTTGATCCCTTCACTCTGTCTTTTCTCTGGAGGATGCAGGCTGAAAAGTGATACCAGTGTGTTGTCTTTTGAGATGCCTTATGTCAGATCATTTGACAGAAACCCACATTTTTGTAGCTCTGGGAATTGTGGTCAGTGCATTGCAACACCAGCATATAGTGTCATTTATCATTATGCCAAGTGGAGAGGGAGTAAAAAGGCTGCAGTGCAAACAAAGACCTGCAACAAATATGAATGGTATGAATGCTGTTCTCTTTTCTTTTGTTAGTTTTGTGAAATATAATAATCAGAAAAAAAGTTCCAGTAGAGGATGGGTTGGCTAAGAGTAACAGAAAAGACTAGAAATGAGAATTTGAGATCGTGGGTGTTGACTTATTTAGAAAGAATATGCAGCAATGTTTGAGCAATATCATCTCAACCAATCACAGGAGGTAAAACAGACTCTATGTAACCCACAGAGGAAATGTGCAAACAGTTGCATTCTTTCTCATGCTGATGCTCCTCTGCATTATGAGTCAGTTTACGTTCACAAAGGTTTTGTTTACACGGGTAAACACATGTTGTTAATGGTGACTCATTGTAAATATAGGTGTGAAATTAATCTGGTGACGTGTGCTGGAGATAAAATCCAGTCCTGCACACACTCCCTTTTTGAGATATAGCTTTATAGTCTGAGTTCACAATTGGCAGAGGCTTATCCCAGTCAATGAAAGCATGGCGTCGGAGGGGTACGTGTCCCACAGGCTGCAGGAGACATCAGGACCGCACACAGACAGTGTGTTTCCTTCACTCCACGCTATAAAAACCCACCCACCACACATGGCTGTAATAAGGCAACAAATTAAGCCATTACGTTGTTTTTAAGGTACACAGACATCCGTGTTTAAATATTTTAAGAGTAGCTAGGGATCTCTCACTCTGAGGTACATTGTGTGTCTGAGACCACCAAGGGAAATGGACACACACCCATCTTATCATTAGAGAGCTGTGGGGTGATTTGTATGATACATGGACATACTTTCGTGAAACTCTTACAAACCAGAGCTCTCATTAGAGTGGTCTGCACTTTCTTACTGCACAGAATGACACGGGGGTTTGGAATCTGATTTCCTGACCCCCGTCATAAAGACAGTGTCTGCGGCTCAGGATGTCCTAATATGGGCTTATTAGAGTCAAACTATTTGGCACAATGTGAAATCGGCTGAAGCCAAAAAGGCAACTTAAGCCAAATCTAATGATGGTGTGTAAGTGTGCGTTCACTCCCACTCTGCACACAGTTTAAGAGCAACACCTATAAAACTTCATTATGCTGCTGCTGTAATGGGGTTCAGGGAAGTACTCCATGAGCTGACAAAAGCAGGAGTGTCTTGTAAACCCCTTGAGGGAACTTACTAATTAAACGCTCACTCCTCTAACTCCAATAAATAGTGAGGATTTCAAGCTTTTCCTACATGTCATATTTTCTCCACACCTCAGGCTACGAAACAACGCCAGAAGTTGGGAGTCCATCCTGAGGAATTCAGTCAGGATGGTTTTAATAGTTTTCCAAGTGGAATTGTTTTTCCAAGCTACTGTTAAACAGGGAGGTGAGGCAGCTAAATGGAGAGGGCTTCCCTGGGATGTTGGCAAGCTGCACCCAGGCCATATGTGAGGGTTCGATGCAGAGAACCTGGCTTCACCACATTTCTAAGAGGTTGTGTCATCAGTAGATGGCAGTAGGTCTAACTATAAAAAGGCAGGTGTGTGCATTGCTTCCCATTGAATATAATGATTGGGCGTACTGCTGTATTGTCAAAAGATGAAAAGACTCACTCCCAAAAAACATGCAACAAATAAACACATAATAATTACATGTGGAATATTCAAATGAGTGCAGATTTTCTTACTCCTTTCCTGAATCTGTTTTTTTAATGTTTAAATTTACATTTCTATTAAGGCAGAATTTCACATTTTTTGTCTATACTAATAATGATTTATTTACTTCTCAGAGAGGACACTGCTCAACCCTTAACCTGTAACATCACACTTGTGTCATTGGGGACATTTAGTTAAAGCTCCTGTAAGGAGATTTTTAAACTTAAGAAACAGACTGAAATTCACAATGATGCTTTCTCATGATTGACAAACGCAAACAACACCATCAGTGACTAGATTGACAATCTTGTAATTGTAAATGATTTATTTGACTGTCGCAAGTCAACAGGCCATTCTTCAGAAGATTCAACTTAAGCATGTAAAGAAAAGACTGCTCTAATCACAAATAATGCTTTTTAAAAGGTCCTCACAGGAGCTTTAACATAGGCATAATAGGCATGAGGTGATGTGATGTCTAATGAAAGTCTCTGCAAAGTTGCATTGGGGATAATTCAGGATTTTGAGACTGACTAACTAAAAGCCAGGATATCCTCGCCTGTGTCGCTATGATATAAAGTGTTCAACCTTAATGTTATTCCTTACATCTTTTTTGAGCTCCGAAATGTTGTAGCCGTCAAATCCTAAATCATTAATTTAGATGGATAGCTGTGTAAATAGATTGATAGCTATAAAGATAGCTGTATAGATAGATGTATAGATGTATAGATAGATAGATAGATAGATAGATAGATAGATAGATAGATAGATAGATAGATAACTGATTTTTAAGTGTTCTACCTTTATGTACATTTATGTTTAATCATTAATTTAGATGTAAAGATGTATAGATAGATGTAAAACTGTATAGATAGATAGATAGATAGATAGATAGATAGAAATCCCACTTTGACTCTGACTTTAATTCTGAGAACAGACAAGAAGCCACAAATTTAGTGTGAAATGAGAATATTGTAACTCCATGGTGCTACTTTGAGTCCCCATAAATTAAATTTTATTAAATTAATCATGACTCAGTTTCTATAAAGCGTAACACATTAAAAGTAAAGATTTTATTGTAAGTTATGAAGAAAGAGCTGCTGTCCGAGCCCCTTCTTCTCCTGTCTGAACACAGAGCAGGACTATGCAGCAGCCTACCTGCTCTTACGCTCCTCGTGCCTGTCAGTCACCGCGCCACCGTCCAATCGCAGCGCACGTGAGCCTGTGACTCCTCCCCAGTGTATAATTGAAGTTTCTTTAGTTTCTCCGGCGGAGCCTGCACGCAGTATTGTCCAAACCGTGGAGGGATTAAATACACAACCGCGGGACCATGTTTTCCAGGAGCCTGAACGTGTGCGTGAGCCTGTGTTTGTGGATTATCGCGTTAACGAGCCCGGGGAGTGTGTCCGCGAGGAAGCAGGACGACTCTTTCTTCACTGCCAGTATTTACCGAGCAAGATGCGCCTCGAGATGCCTCAGTCTGCACATCACTCGCATCTCTGCTTTCTTCAAGCACTCTCAGGTAGGGAGAGCATGTGGTCCCACAATCAGAAACTTCTGGAAATGTGTTGAAAATGAGCATTAAACGCAGTGTTCAAACGGTATTTAATGATTAAACATGTGCCAGTCGATTCTTCCCACATAAGACAAACCTGTTTCTCCATTGTGAGGAGACAGGAGCAGGTCACTAGTGGTGCTGAAGTACTTTTCACTTGTGCTTCCTGGCTGGAATAATCACTGACACGGACGGTGGACCTTTTTGAAAGAGCACTTTGCCTCAAAAAAAGGACCAGTTGCAGATATAAGCGCCTATATGATGGTTTGAGTTGCTTGCAAAGTTGTCTCATACAGTCTTCTTGCCTGCATGTGTAATTTCACCAACACTTATGTGACAGAAAGATGATGGATAAAATTCAGACTTTCCATTCATTAGTTGTCATACTAAGAAATAAGAATGCATTTCTCATAGAAGTGGTTACAAACAGTGTTAATTTTCATCTGCCTGTTTATTTTTGAATGCATCTGATAAATACATAATAGGGAATGCACAGCAGAGACTCCAAGAACATGCTGCATTCAGCAGACTTTGCCCTAAGCTGACTATAAATTAGCCATATCCTTCTTTTGATTTGGTATGTGGTGTCAGAAGTTGTTTTTCACCCTCCACTGGACACCCTGTTCCCCTCCCAGGACTCCAGAATAAAAAGGGTCTGGTCACTGATCCTTCTCCCCTCTACTCCTTTTCACCAGCTATCTATCTGGTGACCGCCTTTAGACTCACTTCATTTGCATTTGCAAGGCTTGTCCTCTCCCGAAGGTGCATTAATGAATCCCTAATTGTTCAGAGACACTGTGGGGCAAGTTAAAATTGTAATTGGGTATAATTAATCAGCAGAAGGCATTCCTTGTTTGCTCGTCACCAATTAACTTACTTTGAAAGCACTTATTGATCTGATGCAGCAGCTCTAAATGCACCTTCTGTGGTTAATTCAGGGTATTCGCCAAGAGAACAAGAGCTTAGAAAGATGCCTCTAACTACATTAAACAGACTGATAATAGCAGCAGAACTGTGCATCCAGGGGACACAGATTGAAAACAGTGTTTCTTAATACACAACTTGGCGAGCAGAGCGGGGGGCTTTGTTCAAGAGATTCCAGCGGTATAATGCAGCCCTGGGTTGCAAACTTTGGGAATTAAATTAGTCACAAGCTGACTGTGGAGTCAAATAAATGATGGAGGTCTCACCTCTAATATACTGCTGATAGTCAATATAATTGAGTGCAGAGCCTTGGAGTCTGGGGCAGCCTTTCACTCAGTGAGGGGAGGTATTTGTCTGAAGAGAAAAGCATTTTTGTGGTTTGTGATAAGCAAAGATTGCTCAAGCAAGTGTGCACGTCTAAGAATAGAAGGCAATTGTTGATAATCTGCAAGGACTGTCTTATGCGCAGTCCTTTCATGTGAAAATGGGGGGTCTGGTCAGCTGCAAAAACATATGGCCCCCATCCTCCCCCCTCCTCCCTGCCCTCTACCCCCTGGCCCTGCCAATAAATGCCAGCATCACACCTCATAGGCATGCAGTGGATACACACAGGGCTACCGATCCTGTGCTCAGCAGAGGTCACCTTCCTGCTAAATGCTGGCTCCCAATTGTGCTAAATGTGATAAGCTCTAATGTGCTGTTGCCACAACACTGGAGCATGCTCACTCAGCACAACCTACAGGTGGATCTGTTTCCTCTGCCAGATCTTATTACAGCCTCTCGCTCCACTCCAATGATTGAGACGACAGACCTCTTAATTCAACTCCAACATCCTTCAGGGGTCATTTAATACTTGATAGGAAAAACCAAGACTTAAATAACTTTCAATTTCAGCAAGTGGGAGCTGCCTTGGCTCGGACTTTTATCTCAACAGGTTTTTAATATTTTATCGTGTCTTCTCAATATCTCGCAATCTAGATGGACCATTACTTATTTTGGTTATGGCACTACAGACACTTGTCCTCTTAATTCTTTCTACAGCTGGAATTAAAGACCCTGTTTTTCATATCAGCGCTAATATGATCATGGTGTGAACACTGGAATGATACCGGATGAATTTAGCGCTTGCAGATGTTGTGAACACCCACGCGGCGTTTCTTTTATAATGTGGCTGAACACAAGAGGACAATCAGAGGCTTTGTTTTAATTGACACAATTTTGAATATGTGTGAAATGAAAACAAGCATGGAGTCGCAGAGTCGTGAAACCCACGGGTAGTGCGTTGGTTTGTCAGATTTATTACAACCGTGGATTTACTGTCGCAATAGTATTTCCAAACACAGATTTATTGACATTTTACTCCACATTTGGGGAACTTGTCACCCCGCTATGATAGACAGAAGGCAACACCCAGCTGTAAATATTAGCCTCGGACACTCTAAAATATTAAGAGCGAGCTGGGAGCCCTGTGCAATCATCTAGTCTGAAAGCATCAGCCTTGTAGTGGATTATTTATGTGGGGACGTGTGAAGCCAAAAACAAGGTGTGTCCATGAGGTCTTGTTATTACAGTCAAAGCAATAAAAGTCCAACATTTTTAAATCCACTCATTCATTTCTAATGTGCTGTGCAGCAACGTCTAAGCATCCTAACTGAGAGATTTGTGCTCTGAGCGAGGGGAAGAAAAAACATTGGAAAGTAGTTTTTCCGTGTCCCCCTTGTTTTCGCCTTTGATATTGAATAACCTGCGGTGGAATCAAACCGCAGCCAGAGCTCGTCTCATGTGTGGAGTTTTTCATTAGTGAAGACAGCGGATGAATAGGGGTCTATGTAGCTTGGCCTCACCTCCCTGTAAATGCTTTTAAACCATGACAGTCCTGTCTGTAAAATCACAGCCCTCCACTGCTGCTACACCCTTTTAGCTACCTCACTTGACAAATAGCCTTCATTCCTAAGTGGGGACAACTTTACACCGACGTTGTTTGAGATCTCTGGAACACCCTGTTATGTTCACATTGGATATGCGCTGAGCACATTAGCTCACTTTCAGAGCGCCTGTCGAATAATTCATAAAAAGTGAATTATTAATGAGCAGGATGACCACACAGTCGCACCCACTCAAGTCAAAGCCTAAATCTTGAGGCCCTTTATTTAAGCGCTGCATGTGTGCCCTTTAAGGATCAGTTATTTTGGTGTAGCCTGAGGACCTCTTAGCTGTTAGAGGACACACAGAGACACCCGTCTGTCCTTTGAAGTCCTGTATCCTGTTAACTTGACCACAAACGTACAAGGTCTCAAAGAGCAGCAGTAGTTGAATGCTGTAAAACGTGTAGGAAAGCCTGAATAAGGTGGAAAAAAAAACCGGCTTACTTGTGTAAACTGAGATACATTTAATCCAAATCAGAGCCTCACAGGAAACAAAAGATTTCCAGTTTCAAAAGGTGGAATGCTATCCTTGGAGATAAAAGGGGTTTTGTCCGTGTTCCTCTCAGTTGTCTAGACAATACAACACGCCCCCGGCCACCTGCTCTGCCTTCTCAGCTGACAACACCCATAATGTATCTGTGTGATAAACCCTCCTGTTTACACGACTCCACCAGTGACACCAACAAAAGCAGCGTGTTCACCTCATCCGCACACTCGAACGCCGCTGTCTGGTCCCGTCTTCCTCGACCCTGGTCACACAGGAAGATATCTGGAAAGTGTTCATTCAGCCGAGTCCTTGACAGTCCTCAGCACTGCATAATGTTCAGCCTGCAGAGGAATGTCATGGTGAGTCAGAGGGATGAAGTCCTGACCTATAATTATTCCCCCGTTGGTCCCTGACATGGTGGGGTCAGGCCTGGACAGCTGGGGCAACATCCTGCTGAGCGTCTCTGCTGCGCGGATGCTGTCACATAGCAAAATTAGCTCCTCTGTGGATCCGGCCCTGTCGCTGATGATGGATGGGCGAAGAAAGGTGTCAAAAAAACAGGATTGATGATTTAGGACACGGTCTAGAGTTATGACAATCTATATAAATTACCCCGAGGAGATGGCTGCCAGTGTAAATGTCAAGGTTTTTATTTACAGTGTGTCAACAACATAGGCTTTGGCTTGGTCTGATATTTTTTTAGAAGTCATTAAGCGTACACCAGACTGATTTTAATCATTTGATACAGTACAAAATGATTTACTCATGAGGGTAGAATCATATTTTAATCAAAGTTTGGCCAAACATAAAGAAGGTTTCCATTACACAGAAAAGGTCAGAAAACTTGCTGATGCTCATTCAACTCCTCAGCCAAGTCAGCACTCATTCCCACTTTCATTTGGTACCAAATGAAACAACTATTAGTCTCCTTGACGCCCACTCTGATGTATTTTTCATCCTTATCTGTAGTTTTTTGTTGAGGTGATTCTCTTAAGACATAACCAAACAATCATGGATTCCTTTGAAGCCATTCGACCATTATCCTTGACACTAAAAGCAAAGCACTCACTGGTACTGGATGTTAAATTAAACCCTTTAATGATAAGTTCTCTCCCAAGGTCTCATGGGAAATTTCTTCTGGATTACATGGTGGGAAAAGGCTTTGAACTTGACATTGAACTTAAGCAGACTTTTTGCCTTCAGACCCCTAAAGTTTGGCTGTATCCCATGTTTCATTGCTTTCATTAGGAAGCGCTGGAACATCCAAAGTGAGGCTCAGAGTCAGGTCATTGACGAGAATGAGTCCATTAATGAAACTGTTGAACTTCTTACTTGGAATGATTTATCCAGATGTGTTGAAGGAGGTGGTGGCAAAGGGACAGAAGGGCCTAGAGCTGCTGTAATGTTTGTATAATGAAAATGAAACCTACTACCTTTATTAATGCGTCAGATGTAGAGGTAGATCCATCCACTGAAGTAATCGCTGCTGTATTCTGCTAAATATATCCTTATTCTTTTGGTTTATGGGCCCACTAATGAGCTTTTTGGGTTCCCTCACTCTCAAGACTCGTGTTTCTGTTTCTAGGCAGTTTCAACCTTTCAAAAATGAGGAAGAAACAATCTGAGATGTTCTTCAAAAGGTAATGGTTTAGACAAAAAGGAGCTGGAAGTAAAATCTGCACCTTCATTTGTCAAGTGACCAGAAACCTGACTGATAGACTACAAATTCATGCTATTGCCCATATGGCTAAGGTGTTTCCCAGCTCAGAGTTTGTTACCCCGTCTAAAGGTGTCCATAAATTGTGTTTTTGCAGGTTTAAACCACTGACCTAAAGGTCCCTTTTTGGTATGCACATCACATTAGGAGATGTAGCCCCTTTAATGTTCATCAACTGGTCATTTATGCTAAAGCACTCCCTTACAATTGCCTTCCAAGCACAATTATGTTTGCAGAAGACGACAGCATAATTCCTCGCCCTATTAGAATTCAGGAAATGACCACTTGCACAAGCCATTTACCCCACTGGTCCTTCGCTCGACAGCTCTCCATATTTACACACAGAGGCTTTGGAAATACACAGCACTATTGGGACCAAATGTTTGCCTCCTCAAATCACAGAAGGTGGCACTTCCCCAGCAATTAGAGGAAATTGGCAGTATCTGCAGTCTGCACAGGAGTGCTGACATCAGTTCCCGCCTTAGTGACCTTGGGGACTTATGTTGAAAGATCAAACAAGTTGTCAGAAAAAAGCTGAGGTCACCATGCTCAGCTGAAACTGACCAGAGGTTTGCCCTGGCCCCCGCTGCGGTGACCCCACTTTCCTGCTTGGGTTACATGCACTCAGCACGCCAAGCTGGCTCGAATTCTCCCTGTGAAATGTGTGGACTGTTGGGTGCAATTTCTCCTCAAAAAGGCCATTGCTCAAGAGAAATGTGGAAACTGATTGGCGTTGATGTATTTTTAAACAACATCTCTGATCACTGATGATGTTTTCCTGTTTTTATTTTTACAGAATAATGGATCCTTGGTGTGGTGCCAGAATCACAAGCAGTGCTCCAAGGTAATGTGGTTTCACCTCTATCACGAATGAGACGCACGCTACATACATGCCTCATTATCAGCGGATAATCTACCATAAAGTGCACGAGTCACGACAGGACTAGTTTTATCATGCCCGCAGGAATCTCTCCTGAATCAGTTGACATAGACTAACCAAGAAAAACCCCGTTCTTTTCATCTTCTTCATAATAGATTGCTTTTGCTTTCACTGATACTCATTTGTAAACGGGATATAATTAAATGCAATTTGAAGAGGTTGAAAGCCTGTTGATTTACGAAAGCAAAACATGATTGTTTTCCTACTCTTGTCATTTGGAATTTCGCTCGGATGTTTCTTGGTACGTCTCCCTTAGGGCTTGTTTGTGTTTCTCGAGCTCTGTCCCAACGAAAGGTTGATACAAAGCTGGTGTCGACAGCTGCCCTGAAAAGACGGCGCTGACATAGTCTATCTGACCCTGCTGGAGCTGTTGACAAGACCCTCGGAGATGTGCTGTAAAGACTGTAGACAGAGAGGAGCTCAAATAAGAAGGATGATACGATGGAAGAGCCAGGTCTGAGCAGAAATGTGAACAATGCTCCCTGTAGCTGTCAGAAGCTCTCATTTCCTCAGATACAGACCGTGAAACCAGGACTCAATCCTTTTAGCCCTTTAGGGCTCAAAATAGGACACAGACAAAACAAATTCATCACCAAAAATCCCTCAATGTCCAGGTTAGACAAATTAGAAGTAGTCCCTGTATGTATTTATAGCTTTCCTCTTAGAAATGAACAGACTTTGGTTTTCTTGTTGACAAATTGGGCCAATCACAGAATTGCAATGATTAATTAGAAATTCAGGAAAGAGCGGTGAAATTTCTTCCTCGTGCTTATTTAACACGGCCTCACGTTTGTGTGTACAAATTAATCACAATCAGTGTCTTGTATCAACTGCTTCAGCAAAATAACCCGTGTTTGATTTCCAAACTCCTTCTTTGAATTTCAAATTGTTTCCTTGACAATTTGCATTTGCCCGGGATACAGCAGAGCTATTGTGCTTTGTGCTTTCCATTACATCTGCAAATGTATAGCTTATTTCCTGTCTCAGCATGGCAGTTATTCAAAACATGTTGATCTGTTGCAGCGCTGAGTCGATCTTGAACCTTTTGACCAACCTCAACGGTTGATTTAAAGTCTTCTCAGTGACTTCCAAGTGGTTATTGAAGCATCTGAAGGCGAAACATGATTAATTTCAGCTTGTCTACATGTCACAAAAACAAAAAAATGGATAGGAAATATGTCATCTTTGTGCTTATAAATCTTGGGTGTCAAGTTTAAAGTGCATTGGAGGCACTAAATAAGGCAAACCCCCTTTGTTCCCCCCCATAATGCTCTCAAACTTGTTCTCTCCTTTCCACTGTGATGGCCAACACTGCCTTTTGGCACCCGTCGCCCTCCGGTCTTTCAGCAGAGTTTTATGTTTTGAAAAAGGATTTTGCTGGCTGTGAGTCTGAACCCAGCACACTGTTCCCATAATCAACCAGCTGAAACCCTTCAAAAGTCCAAAAACTCTGTAATGGACTTCTTGTTCTCCCCGCTATAACAAGCATGTCACTTAGCACTTCTTTATCCTGCTTGTAAGCTGTAAATAAATGAGGCAGGATTTGATGTAAGCCCTTAAAAATAATGATATGTTTGTGTTGCTGCTGTGTAACCACGGTGCTCTGCCAATCTGCCATTTCAAATACATTCAAGAGTGCTTTGAATTTAATTAACTTAATTGTATCCTAGGTTTTGGTTTAGCCATTCAGGGCTCCGGTTAGGGCACAGAGCTGAGGTCTAATTTGCAGCCAGAAGTCAATATTTTGGTTGCAAACATCCGCACACTTCACATCTCCATGAATGCCTCTAGTGCACACTTGAGACCTGTTTGCAGAGTGTCAAAACACAGGGCTATTGTGGCCACTCTTAACAATTGTTCCAAATGGGCCCATGCTGTACAGTGGCTCCTGTGAATAGCTCTACAACCGCTGATTAGCCTCTTCACTTCATCAACAGCTCACACGCAAACAGAGAGACAAAGGCGGTGGCTCCTGGGGAGTGCGTAGGGGCAGAAGGCCTGTCCACCCAGAGCTCAGTTAAAGAGCCCCCGCCTGTGAGGGGAAAATGGGAAGACGGGCTGCCTATTAATTTAGACAAAGATGCTCTGACCTCGTCCATCTGTCTGCATTTTAGGAAATCAAAGCCTCCTGTTGCCATTTGCAATGAGAAAGTCATCCCGGTCATTGCGTTTGCAATGACCAGAGTCAGCCCAGCTTTCAGTGTCCCCATTGTGATGGTAATTAACCTGCTTGCCCTCTCTCCAGAGCAGAGCGAGGTGGCATTTGGAGAGCCAGGGAGTCATTATAATGCCATAACAGTGGACCAGCAGACATTCAGCTGGGGGACGCTGGGGGAACAGACAACAGCAGCATTTCTATGAGCTATTGTCATTTCGCCTCCCTACTGTTAGAGCCCGAGAAGTTTGGATGTGTTCCCTGAAAGTTTTCTAAACTCCAGGGTGTTCTTCTTTTTCTGCCGCGGCAGAGAAAATAGATTTTGTGCGTGCGCATGAGAGAGAGTGCAGCAGAGCCAGCCAAGGAGCTTTCCACATTGAGAGCAGGGCTGATATTAGCAATGGGTTTGCTTTTCCCCATGGGTGTGATCCAGGCTCCAAATCAAATGCTAGGATTGACTTAAAGGCAGCTAAATGTCGGCCTGCAACAAGGCAGTGTGCTTCATTACTCAAACTTCTCTCAGGGAGGGTAGAGAAGAAAGGACATGTGCATTATGCCTGAATAAGTTAGCCTGTGGTGAGTCATTGGATTGTGGCCATCACATATAAATCTTGGGGAAGAGAGTGTCACATTTTCTTAAAAACACACTGAATATTCTGCACATTTTTAAAAAGCTGTCTACTTTGGCCTCCACGGGGACTGATTACTCTATGAACTAGATTGAGAGGCAATTACTGAGCCGGAGAGTCATAAAACTCAGTCTGTAATGTAACATCTTCTTGCTGGGACGTGTTGACTTGGCCTTCCATTTCTCTTAAGCAGCATTTCAGAGCATCCAGGGGGGAAAACATTGCCTGGTTGCCATTTGACGCCAATAAGTCGTGCGTGTCTTTCATACTCACTCTACTCATCCCAGGTGGCTGTTTTTTTTTCACCAATCACACTCCGAGTTGACACCAGCTGGTGAAAAAATAGCTGGATTACATGCGTCTTCGTCTTCACATGTTGGAGGCTTTGGAGCTGAATGAATAATCTCTGGAATGCTACCATGTCTCATTCAAAAGTGTCTTTCAAAGCCCATCCTACCAACCCCCACATTTTCTCACGCCAAAATAAAATAGCCCCAACTTCCCATCGCTTGATCTTTTTTTCAGGGTCAGCTGAACCTTAAACATTTAATAAGGAGCCCAGCCTCATTTTTGAGAGAATAGAAGCACATACTTTGAACAAACCACTTTCTCCTGGAGCTTTGCGAGTGTGTCAATGCAGTTTACAAGTCTTTTGTGTGGTCATCGGTTCTTTGGCGGTGGGTAGTATATTACGGCGAGCTCTGAAAAGACGTGATAAAGTGGGTGCTGGATGGTAGTTTTTATGGCTGGGATTGTTAGGCGCTTAGACGGACTTCAAAGCACCTTTTGGTCATGTTGGGGCCAGACGTTGGTCTTGCCTCCCGTGTGTCAGCCACATTACCAGCCCCAACACCTCAAAGCAAAACCAGACTGGAAATCAATCCATCAAGTGGGCAGCGTGTCTGGGTCGAATATAAAATCCAAGAAACAGTCCTTCCTTTTGTGCTTGATTGATTTTCTAATTTCATACATTCACTGAAGAACTCTTAAGGTGGTGGGGATCATGTGAAGAGACATCTCGGTAGTTTCTTTCTTCTTCTTTGAGGCGGTGTGTGTGGGTGGCGGAGGAGTGTGAAGCAGGGGCTGGTCAGTCCCAGCAGGAAGGACCTGATCTGGACATGGTTGTTAAGTTTCATTGGCTAAAGGGGGGGTCGCTTCATTGGCTGCTATCTGTAGAGCTCATTATTCACATGGTGGGTGGCAGAGAATGAAAACCCCCCACAGCAGAAAAAGCAAAGACACGGCCACAGAAAGAGAGAAAGAGGAGAGTGTGGTGGTGCAGTTCAGACTTCCCCGGCAGTGAAAGTTCACATCTGTCTAAAGCTGCTCTGTTCAGTTTGTGAGTGATGAGCACTCCAGGAAATCCTCCACGAAAAGAAAAACCCTCACCGCCTCATACAGACGTGTGTTATTATCGATCCCTCGGTGCATGAGGGTCTTTTATTTTGTAGACATTTGTTTTTGTAGATCGCAGCCTTTCGCAGATCGCCTGATTTCACATGTTCGAGCTGTCAGAAGGGATTTGATTCTCTTGAAGGATTAATGTAATCAAAGCTGCTGTGAAATCCTCTTTTAGCAATAATGACCAGTCACACTGAGACAATCTGCTGTCATCCAAGTGTTTATTCCCGCTCTCAGGATGCTCTGGCTGCGTGTCGTGGGTTACAGTGGGCTCTTCGTGTTTCTTTTGCGTACTTGTTGAGAGGTGCTAAAGCGGAAAAGGATTCCGCAGCTCCGCTCAAGTTGAAATGTGGCAACTGGAGCCACCGTGCCGAGAGTCACATAGACGGCAGAAAGATTAGGATGTAAGAATCTTAAAGCTGATGTACTTAGTTGATGTGGGCTTATCAATTTATTCCGGCTTCAGTCAAAGCTGCTGCGCCCTGCAGATAAATCCCACAGATTGTGTGTGACAGTTTCAGGATGTTTGACAACCAGAATGTGTGTCAAAGCCTCAGTGATAGACAGCTTGTTTAACCTTTGACGCTGAGATGTATTCTCCTGCAGAGTAATTTGTACTTTGGATTTCGAGACTGCACATGTATCCCGGATGAAAAGAGCCGCCGTCTTCTGGCTCTTCTGTTTGTTTTCTGACAAACCCCAAAAGTCTTCCTCACCCAGCCTGCCCAGATTTGCCCTCTCTTTGTGAAGGCTTTGTTCTCCGCTTTTGAAATCCTTACAAAAGAGAAATCAATCATCACTTTAAGAAGATAGAGCAAGTTATGACGCAGTTATAGCGCTGCACACTGTTTCTCAGTGTGTGTATGAGTGTGTGTGTGTGCCACAAGCCAGAACTACAGATAAGAACCGCTGGGGTAAAGGAGCTGTTAGTGGATGCTGGAGAGGCCAAGTAGGATTAGCGAATTTCAAGTGTTTCACAGACTCAAATAAACAAGTGGAGATAGTGCTGGAATGTGACTGCAGCGTGGGATTAAGGCGGCTTTACTCCCCTTGGACGACGTGTCATGTTTTACATGTCGCTGGCCTACATTGACGCACAATCTGCAGGTCTCAATTCATTAGGGATGATGGTGATTGAGGTTGAGACGGCTTGTGTGGTCAGTGAAAGGATGAGCCAGTGGGGACGAAGTTTATTTGATCTTGTTTTGCATCTGAAATGTCTGGTGTGGTCCAGACAGAAAGCTTTTAAAAAATGTGCAGGGAAAATTAAAGTTCGTTATCGCTGCTGTAAATCAACACAATGGACAGTTTTGGAGCCAAAGTATGTATTTGTTTTCCTTGTATTTACTGTAATGTGGTGGTGGAACGACTTCACCCCTATTGTTCCTCTTCTGTGTGTTACTCATTGCGTAGATTTCCCACCTTGCATTCACTAGTGTGAGTGAATATGTGTGAATAGGACTGGTTGTTTCTGATGGTAGAGCATTCAGCTATCAGTATGAGAATTTAAGTGTAAATGTCACTCTGAATGTGAGATGTTGTGACAAAGCTTCATAAAGTGCTTTAATAATAATAATAAATGTGGTCCATTTATCATTTGGCACAAGACAGAGCATTAGTTTAATTATCGCACTAAGCCAGACTCCAGGCGACTGCTTCATGCGTGCCAAAACAAGCAAAAAAGTTCTTGATCAGATCGGCATGTTGGGGTGTTTGTGGGATAAGCTGAAGTTTATCTGCTTTATTTTATGTTTTGTGAAAGATTAATGGAACTGATTTTTGGAGTATTTTTGTGGAACAAAGGAAGCGTACTGGTGAGAAGATGGACAAACTGTAAAGAAAGAGATTGCTGAAATTACAGCATTGGTTAAAACATGTCTAAAACTTGTTAACTCATCATCAGTGTCTGTTTTTGAAGTTTTAATGTGGGCCTTTTTATGGCTATATGAAGACACAGCACTGTGGATAGAGTTGAAGGACCTGTGGCAAGCTGTTATCAAACCTGGGCTGCCCTCTTTACTACACTTTGTATGCAGCTGCTGAAACAAACCGATGCTAACACACTTTTAAAACCTTTTGCCATCTAAAAAGGGAACTGCATCTTTGCACTACTTAAAAATGGCACTCAGAGAAACAAGGCACGATGGAAATGTAGCAGGAAGGACCAGGCTAGTCGGCAGAACCAAGACTTGCTGCATTTTCAGACAATTCGTTGTGGAAAGAAGCGGGATTGCAACCTTAACATGGTAAAAACTAGGGGTGGGAATCACAAGTGGCCCCATGATACAATGTTATCACGATACTTGGGCCACGATATGATATTATTATGATACTTGGGCCATGATACAATATATCGCGATTCATACAATTTTTTCCAACCGTCTAGCTAATTTAGCATTTGTCTTTCCTTAATGTTTGTCTCATTAACACAGTATTTTATTTTCAGGTAGCACATCTTGCTAACCATATGTGTCAGGTCTATCCCATTTGTGCCCTGCTTGCATTCCCAATGTCTTTCCCCAGGTGCTGCTATATTTGTCGCACTGACTTTCTCCTGCTCTATAATGTCTCCTCTGCCAACCTCACTGGACAAACAGTTGATTTTATTTTTCCATTATCATAGATTGAATTCATATTAGCAATTAATTTGAAAAATCGGTACTTGGGAAATGAGACGATACAATATATCACCAGACAAAATATCGCGATACTATGCTCTATTGATAACCCTGTAAAAACAAGAAAGAGCTTCACATCTGCACAGTAAATGCATGTTGTGGACTTTTCTGGATGCGATGGAAACTGTTTCACAAGAGGACAGTTTAAACATTTTTTTCCCTCTGAGAGACAGTCTCACGGACTGCTGCAGCTTATAGACTGGATTTCGTGGTGGTTAAGTTTTATTGAAAAGTCAGTCGCCACAGACAGTTGAAACAAATGAGTTTTTGGGTTAGGGGAATGTTCTTATTATTCAATTTCTGTGCATCTTTCATTGTGGGTGTTTTCACAGTGGTGGAGTAAATACAGTAAATCATGTTTGGGGCTGATCTGATGTCGTTCTTCTCAGAGAGCAGCACAGAGGGTTTGGCTTTCCCATGCCACGTCAAAGCCGGCCTCTTTATCATTAATCTGACCCCACATGATGGATACATCCTGTTGAGTCTAATTGTCATGAAATGTAAACTGAGCCCAGAGGTAGGTGATAACTGCGGCTCCAGTTACAGCCACTGTAATTTTGACTCTTGAACAACATGAGATGCCAGAAGGACCTGTAAGAGAAGGAGGAGGGTAGGGGGTGTCTGGGTGAAACTTCAGAGTCATTAACTATTAAGTGAACTCTGATTGCATTCCACAGCAGACAAAGCACAATTCTGGCTAAGCTGTGTGGGCTTTTTTGCTCATAAATAAAGCAGGCACCTCTGATTGTGGGCTAAATGTATAATTCATGCACTGCCCCTCCTGCTCCTCCTCCTTTTTCTTCTCACTTTCTGCCGAGCTCTTCCTTTTCAGCCTCTTTGTTGTCTGCACCCTCAACTGCATTTAAATTAATAATTAAAGTGATGCTCAAAGAATGTCTGTGACACCACCTGCTAGGTTACTCACCGTCTCCCGGCCTCACTTTGAGAAACAAAACAGAAAAGTCTTGTACTGTATACGTTTCAGCTTACCCCACAGGAGCTGGAGCGCCGCTGTTTTAGTTGGTTGTAAACGCGGAGGAATTATGACACTGGCAGCAGTCACGGTGAGCGTAAAGCACTTTAAGATTTGGAAAAAAGTGTCATTACTCATGTAAGGGTAATTTGAAGAAGTCTGCGCAGTTAAACTTTGAGATGATAATTTCGAGCAGACATGTTCAAAACCACACTGACATTTTTTGCATTTCTCAGGTGCTGCAGGATATTGCTCCCTCAGACCTGCTGTAAAAGTAAAAGCGGGGGAAAACAGATGCAGTAATAGTTGGCATCATTTTTGGTCAATCAATTACTAATTCCTGCTTGCACAGTGCAAAAACCACACAGTCATGCTTTGAACAAAGGCCAGGGATAGACCATACTTTTTGATCTATTATTAAAGGAGAGAACATCAATTAATCAGTCTTGGAACCTATCCGTCTTTGTTTTATGACATTTAAACCTCTGGAGGTGGCGGCCAAATTTCCAAGGCTGTTAGCTATAAAAGGCTTTAGGCAAGGACTTCCTTTTCCATATGTTGCCATCGTTCACAGTCTGATAATGACTTTTTGAAGTGAGAATGGCGTTGGTGTTGAGAAACAGCATCGAAGAGTAGATTAATAGCTGCACTTGCACTCAGGTATCTGTTGGTAGAGATTATTTATAGTTATAGCTGCGGTTAGATGACCCCAGCAGGGTTCCTAAGTGCATTAGAGAGCACCAACTCTTTGGCTCTCCACACACCCACTGTTTTTCTGCATACCGTCAAAACCTGTGAGACAGTACCATTAGGACTACAAATTCAGAGATGGTACCCAAGTGAGCAGCCTATTTCTATTTTTGGCTAAGTATCATGCACATAATGTTTCTTTTTTTCTTCCTGTATTAGAGCATCATCCAAACGTAATGATGTAGATGAGCTCTGGTTCATTTTAGCCCCTTGCCAATAGCCTAAAGTGCCTGACTCAGAAAGAGAAAGGTCCCACCAGTTATATTTATATCTCATACACAGTACATTATCAACCCTATCATACCACTGTAAAAAAGTGCAGCAAGTCATTCTGCACTATCATAGTTTTGGATTAATGCAAAATCACATATCATAAACAAGTCTTACTCACACAGGGATGACTTCAATATGTTATTTTTTCATCTTTATGAAATGCATTGCTGAAAAATATTTCCTCAAGATTTAAAGGTTGGGACAAACTGTGACTAAAGAGAGGAAAACTGTCTCTGCAGTGTGTGAGCAGGTAACACTAAACAGAAATCTGAATACTTCCAGGAACAAAATCTCGTCCTTTGCATACAGACAGATTCTGCGGTTTTTTTTTTTTTTTTGCATAGAGAATAATCATACATAAGAAAATAGTTGTTGAAAGCAAAAAGCCTTTCTTTAAACAGGCATAAACCAGACTCTCTGGTGAACAGCCATCTGCCAAACGGGTTGTAAAAGTGAGATAGAGTAGGAGGCAAAAGGAGTTAAGTAAATCTGCAAACAGACTTCGCAGCAATAACAAATAGTAAAAATAAATGATGCAGACTTACTGTAGCAAAGAAAAACACAAGCCTAGATGTATGACCACTAACATTAAAAACTATTTGGACGATGATATAAGCATAACTGATAATAATACATGTAGCAGTAAGAGTCAAGCAGGTCCAGAGTCCAGCAGGCAGTCTGTGATCATAATCCTGGGGGACTTGCAGACCTTGACACAAACGTTCTTACAGTGTAGATACTCAGACCTTCAGGTAGACAGAGGAGACTAACTCTCCCAGACAGACATCACGTAACACCTCCGTCACTTGAACAGTGTGCGCAGACAGACACACTCTGATTGTTGTCTTTTTGTAGCCCTGAATACAGCAGTACTCCTGTAAAGCTGAGTTTGCAGAAGCTTATGTAATTCCAGTATTGAACCCCCCCACGCATCTGCTGCTGTATAATTTTAGCCAAGCGTGCCCCCCAAAATATCAGAGCAAAACTTTGTATGAATATTTAAGATGTACTGACAAAGCACAGACGAGGCTTAAGTTGCTGGAAAAAGAACATCAGCATTGGCTGGGAATAAGTCCAACAGCTCTAATATAATTAAATTTTCACCCATGTTTCTTCCCGATAAGTAAAGCAGTTAGATAAGCAGCCTTCTGCTCAATGGAAGAACTTCATTTCATATTTATCAGCACCAATGTGAGTGTGCTGCGTATAGAGTTGCAGACTCACATCTCCTGTCAGCCCGCTGTTAATCTTTGTGATCTACCTGACCGTCTGCTCGACGTGCACCTGCGCTGATTTACAGCGGTGCAGAAACTCAACCCAGGATATCTCTGGGACTTAACAGGACAAAAGGTCAGTTGAGGTGGAGGAAATAATGTGTCTAGACTTCAGAACGGCTCAGGATGGAGATATCTTCTTCCTGATTTACTTGCTATATTTTTGCAGGCCTTTCAAACTTAATGGCACGTCAGAGACATAGTGGGAAGCCTCTCCAGCATATGACTTTACGCTTATTCTGACACAGCTCCAGCACTTGGAGAAACATGTTACAACCTGGTTAACTTGTACTTACAGTTTCTGTAAACATCATCCAAGAAATCCAGACATGAAAAAGACTTTTTGTCTTAAAATTGGTGTAAATTTCAGAAGGAGATCATACTGGATGTTAACTCTGTGAGACAGGTTGAGGATGGGTGTTTGCCATGAATCAGAATGGAGAACACAGACATTCGTCTCAGTGTCTTAGCTTTGAGAGCTGAGGGTGGGAGGAAATGATTGACACAAACACAGAAGTTAAATGTGTTTTACTTGCTGTTTTTTTTGACGCACATTTAGCTAATGTCTTTTTTTTGTTATTAAATAAAAATGGCTTATCTGGTCTGGTGACGTCCTCTTAGTATTTGATGCTTTTCTTTGTCAAAAATGACAGTTATGAGGGTGTCTTTTGATTTTGGGTGTTTGATCCAGGCCTCTGAGAAAGTACAACAGAAAGAACATTTGAAATCTCCAATAAGAGAGGGAAAATAAGTCTTACTTTTGGAGTTCATTTGTTTATGTTGGAGCTCCTCTGTTTTCTTTATTTCTCAATGCTGGTGACATTTTTACATTCTGTTCTGTTTCATAGCTAATTGTAATACTGGCAGAGGTTGAGCGCATGCAACACTTTCTGCACTGATAGTGATTGTAAGTGGCAACTGCAGGGTATGAATACATCCCAGCCAGCATCACTTGTAACATTGAGCAATGGCATAACAATAATGTAATCCTTCGATAAATTTTTAAGGGATGGGAGGGGGTGTTACTGCTGAGGTGAAAGCCATAGTGATACTGTTTTTTGTGTGCCCCAAATCTGTTAAACCTTTTCTCCACTTTGACCAAATTCAGAGTATCTGGATCTCACTACTGCCAAGATTTCACAAAACTCAACCCCAGGCTTCATGACGTCTCTTGAGGATGGTTCTTGTTTTTTAAACAGTTGGAGTTTGGCGTATTTCGTTTTATGACTTTTTTTGCACTTGTGCAATTGTCTTACAATAGACACAAAACATGTGTCAGTGACATCACCTGTGCTGGGTTCTTGGCTGAAGGTTTGGAAAACACACATTTACAGAAAAGAAAAAAAAAAAAAGTTGGAGGCTCCAGAAACATGGGCTCATAACATTGCTGGCAAATGAAATTGCACTGGCTATGTTTGTGAAAGATATATCACATGATAAAAGGCTTGTTCTTTGTCTGCACTGCAACATAAGCCTGGTGTTTTCACATTTATCTACTTTGGGGAGAGCTTTGGAAAACATCCATTTTCTGAGTAAGATCAGGCTGGCTTAGTGCATGATGGAAGGCCAACGCAGGGAGAAAAGATGAGTTTTCAAATTTATCTGGATTAGAGCGGACATGGTCTGAGAGGGAGAGAGAGGGAGACTGAAAGGCAGATAAAAACTGAGAAGAACCAGGGGAAGTCGAGGGGAGACGACAGCCAAATAAAAGTGAAATAGAGTGAGAGGAGAGTGAGGGCGTGGAGTAAGTGCCGCTTTCTATAGAAGGGAGAGCGCAGCCCGGTGGCATGCTCCTGGATTGGGTCGATAGATATGAGCAAAGGGCTGAAAGCTGCTAGGATAATTGAGCCTGGTCACTGGGAGTGTGAAAAGCGCGGGTGCAGCAGAAAACAACCATAACTCAATGAGATTGGAGGTGAGATTTACAATGTGTATGATCAACAACAGAGATTCCTCCATATCTGACTCTACCAGAGAGGCAGAAGCCAGCTGCTCCATCCCCGGAGACCACAAAGGCACCTTGTAAATATCTGCTGGCACCGCTCAGGCTTTACGCTGACAGTCCGGACTGCAGTCGATGCATCCAGGTCCCCAGTGTCATTTGTGAGTTTTTGGTTTCATAGAGAAGATACATACTGGGGAAGCCCATACTTTGGTCACATGAGTAGATACAGACAACTGAGATTTACAAGTATGTGACTGGGTTATTTATTTTAAAAGAACAGGAATAGTTTGAGATTTGTCACTCAAATCTCCATCAACCAAAGAAGCCAATTTCCTCTGACCTTGTGGCAAGTGGCTGAAATACTTTTTTGATGTCATACTGCTCAGTTTAAGGTTGTGAACTGAAGGATAGCCTGCAGCTGCTTCAGTGGCTCCCTGGAAGCAGCTAACAGGCTAACATCACTTGATAAGTGAGACAAAATACCAAAAGACAGATCAAACCTTTGCTAACACTAGGGGTGGGAGAAAAAATGTTAAAGGATAGTATTGCAATATTTTGTCTGGTGATATATCATATTGTCTCATTTACCAAGTATCGGCTTTTCAAATTAATTGCTAATATGAAGTCAAATCTGTGATAATGGAAAAATAAAATCAACTGTTTGTCCAGTGTAAATAAGACAAACATAAAGGAAAGCCAAATGCTTAATTAACTAAACAATTGAAAAAAAATATATAAATCACAATATATTGTATCACAATACTCACTGTGTAGCAGAATGTAAAAAATTACAATAATGGGGCGCGCAGATAGCCTAGTGGGTTAGTGCACCCCATGTATGGGGACCACGATCCCTGCAGCGGTCGCGAGCTCGAGTACAGCCCCAACCATGTACTGTTCTATAAATAAAGGCAAAATCACCCCCCAAAAAATAAAATAATTGCAGTTATATTGTATCGTGGCTCAAGTGTAGTGATAATATTGTATTGTGGGGCCACTAGTGATTCCCACCCCTAGCTAACACAATGTTAGCTTAGGAGTTACTCTCTGGAGATGTGCGTACCAGCAACATCACATTGGCTAATTTACTGAACGCTCGCTGTTGTTGTCTAATGGTCGCCGGCAGGTTAGCAAACATGCTGTTAACTTGGAAGTACTGTTGTGTTTGGATGTTTAATATCAATAATATTCACAGCTCAATCACGAAACTGTAAGATATATAGTCAGTTAGATACCCTACATAAACTACAACGTGGCAGAACAACACTTAACCAGCTTTTAAGAGTGATGCAAGAGGAAAGTGGCGACTGAGAGATTATTAAGGATGACGGCATAAGTGCAAAATGTCTTCTCCCCATGTTTTATTTTGTATACACAGTGTTTGGTTAAGCCTCGGGCACTGTTGACTGGTAGCAGTTCATGCTTCATTAGCCGAAACTAAACACTTTTTCATTGTATATGTTATTCTAGGCCCTCACTCAGGCCAGTAAGCTTTTTAATGATGGGTGGAGATGTTGATGAACCATGCTCCACTGATGGAGAAAGGCAGTCTATACACACCAACCCAACCTCCCCCACGCACACACATCTCAGCCCCTCCATCTACTCCCCGCCTCGTCCCAGCCATGACAAAGTGAAGATGGGCTGTGGCATTGGCGTCCATTCAGCCTGACTCTCTCATCGGCCCCACAGAATGCCTTTAAGGGTCCCCCAGAGTAACAACTGCTGCGTTTTATTACAGCGTGAAATGGGAAGTGAATGAGCGCTATGGATGTTCCTACTTAGCCATGCAGAATGTGTCACTATGTGGTACCACGATAAGGGGACAAAGAAAATCAGACGCTCAAGTTCTTTTGTTAAGACTAACTGCTCCAGTCCATAGAAAACAACTTGTGCTCTTGTTTATACATCCCAGTCAAAAAAAAAAATCATTTGTGTCTTTTTTGGGGCGAAATTTGTCCAGAAATTTGTTAACATCTCATAGGATAATGACATGCATTCCTTATGCTATTGAAACAGATGGTAGCCGGGTTGCCAAGAGGAGAGATTTGCTTGAGGGAGACAAAGCCTCTGGCACCCAAACCCAGCAGATACACTATGTCCAGCTCAATTATGCTCCCCTTTCCACTTCCATGGTGTGCTTTCTCAGATTTGATCACAGAGTCAAACATTAGTACTGCCACTGACAGCGCCGGATGTGCAAAAGTTTAAGATTCCCAATTCCCTGTGGGGCACACTAAAACTTAACTGCTAGACCATGAATATGTCCTGAGGAGACGGCACGGACTCACACAACATGATTCTTTTGAATGTGCCATTATTCTTCAAAAAGAAAAAAAAAGTCTGAACTCATTTTAGCTTTGCATCATTTTTTAACGAGGGAGATTATTTCTAAAAGTCAGTGCATCAACTTTTTAAGATTCCTCCTCTCCGGTTTTCTGGTTTGTTTTCACAGATCACGTCTCAGAGTCAAACACTGGAAATGATATTGACATTGTGAGATGTCCAAACATTTGAGGCTTCCAGTCTTTTATGGAAACCATTTAGACTGACTGTCAGACCACAGATATCTGCTAATGTGTTTCTATTGTTTGAATAGTGATATTTTTATGTGAAAGCTTTTTTGGGGTGTTATTATTAGCAGTTTGGGATTATAACTAGGAGTTTGGGGATACTAAAACCACGTCTGATAGTGATACCAGTATCATTACGGGGTTCTAGTAATGTTTAAAATCAAGGTTTTGCCAATGCAACAATCAGATTTGTTAATACAGTAAAACCAGCAAGTGTTTCATACTTTTATTGTTAATTTTGTTGATCTGGATGTAACTTTGTACCGTCTTGTCTGCAGAATCAGTCTGAGGGAGGAGAAAGTTGCGTTTCCTCCCTCAATGGGATCTATTCACTCAAATTCTCCCAGTAGTATTTGCATCAACTCGAAGCTATTAATGAAGAATTTTTCTTCCTTGTGAAACACTTTTCATTTTGACTTTCTTCATTGCTAAAATGCTGACTTGCAAAGTCAAATGCAAAAAAGATGTCTCAACTTCTACATTAATAAAGTCGTCTGTCAGCTTGTTATTGAGAGGAGGCTGAAGCCTAATGTGAAAAATTGCACAAGAGCTCATAGAAACGAAGTTTTGGCATTTGCCCATGCATCTTCTCTGCGTCCCAACATCAGTGCGATGCTTTAGATTTATCACTAAACTGTGTAAATAAGAATCAGGGCTCTTGATTGATGAGAGCACCTTTGTAATTAAATCCAGCCGTCCCATTTGCTTTGGCAAGACATCTGTCGTCGGTCCTCCTCTTCCCTCCTTAAATGTCAGGTTGTGGGTGTGGCTGGGGAGAATCGCTGACAGATTGTCAGTTTTCAGCACACCTGCAGGGAGATCTCACCGCCTCCACACAAACACTTATCTCTTTAAGAGTCCTGTTTACGATACAACTGCTCAGTGAGTGGAAATTACTGTCCTGATACATTAAACCTCTGTTAGCATTCTGAAGTTTTGTTTGTTGAAAACTTTTGAGAAAAAAAAAAGAAAGGAAAATGTGGGACTCAGGGGGGCGAGACAACACTAAACACACAGCCAGCATTCTGATCTGTGTTGCAATATCTTTGGTACACCATGTGCTGTGTTAATTCATGCTGCTTGGCATGCAAGCCCGAGCATCTTGAGGTAGTGATGATTCTTATTTTCATTTGTGATCGTGGTGAACTGGAAAGAAAAGGGAAAGGTTCATCCTCAAGAAAAGCCAAAGGAATGCATTCACCCAGTGCAGGGGGGATCTTTCAATGAGTAAAATGAGCTTGATCCTCTGGCTTATGTGTGTATGTTCAGTGATTTGTAGTAGGGATTTGGGGGCTTTAACATGTGCGTCTACTAGCACAATGTCCTTTTAGATGCCGGTGCAGCACACAGTTAATGCTTCAACACCTCCCTGTTCCAAACCGGGGCTCGGGATGCTGAAGTTGCTGCTACTGCTGCTCCCTCAGTGGACACGACTGAGAACCAAGTAAATGATGTAAGGTCAAATAATTATTAATAGCAGATGAGGATAAAACTGCGTAGACACTCTAGACAATGATGCATAACTTGGACGATGCAATTGAGCTCATATGTCATCTTAAACCTCTGAGGTGTTGCAGTGGTTTCACCTGATCAGCTCTGTAGAAACCACATTAGTTTCTTTTGGAGCTCTCGGCTGTCATAACTCCCTGCAAGGTGTCCAATTTTCCTCCTGGCACTCGATATTTTATATCACCGCCAGAGAGATATCTATATTACTATGAAGTAATTAAGAAAATACCCTCTCGAACAGCCTCCGTCATTCTCTGGAGCCAGCTGTGCAACACTCGACACAGTGTCCACACAGGGCTTTCTCCGTTGCCCGAGACGAGTGTAATTGAGTGCTGGCAGGCGTGTGCAAGGCCCTGATTGCAGCATGTTCCTCCAGAAGCAAGGTTTATGTTTCATCATACGCCCGTCCACCACACTCCATAAAAAGCAAATAAACGTTTCACTGGCAATGGCATAATAATGACAGAGTGGGTTAATGAGCAAATTAAAGTCATAAATTCAATCCTCGCCCTTGACTGAGCTGTGAGAATTCTTACATCAACTCTGTGGTAAATGTCCCCTTTACAGTAGGTGCTGTCCATGATTAAACGGACCGAACCACTCCAGGGTCTCCTGTTTGTTTAAGCGACCATGTTTGAAGCTTAGATTTTGACACTTTAGTTTTTGTGGTAGCAAAAAGCAACTCGCATGGCCGTCAGAGTCGACACTCTCTTTCTCGGATGATAGGTGGCTCTGGTGGCAACTTGGTGAACTAAAGCAAAGTTTTTCCAAATTGATTTAAGGTGTTGATTCTGGAGCCTAAAAAAAGCAGTTGGCGCTGTGACATATTTTCCCCATCAATGCATTGATCTCATATAACTTAAATCGAGTGCTTTCCAGCAAGCAGACAAAAAAGGTTTGGTGTCTGCAGGGAGTTTCATGTTTTTTGAACAGAGCAAAATGTCAGCTCTCTGTGTTTTTACATGAATATTCTGCATATTTTATTGAGCTTACTGGTTGGAGGATCATCAACCATTTTGGTCAAAAGTTTGGATTTGAACATAATTACCCCAAAGCAGCCCATTGATTATCCACTCAGTGAATTGTGTTTTTAAAGATGTTCATCAAACTTCAACCTAGCAACTGGGTCTATAAATTTATCAGATCATTGAGATGATAATTAATTAGCTAAGAAGTCGACAATTTATCTCATCTGGTATAATAAAAACAGACTTTTTAAAAACTATAGACATTATGAAACATGGACACAGTCTCTGCAACATCTTTCTGACTTGAAGTTTTTAAGCCCGACAATGGCAGGTGAAAAATTGGGAATGCTGGCTCATTCTGAACTATCAATCAACTGAGACACAGACACATTTTAAACTTAATATCACCCTTTAGGTGCAGCTCACCAACCTGGCAGCCAGGTGGGTGTCAAACTTCCTTAAATCAAAACAGATACTCTTTGAAATATAGTCACCCCCCTCCCTCGTACATTGTGTGTAAATAAATACTTGAGCTACGCAACAATAAACCCCATTATTTTAAACATTATAACAGGATTTATATTGAACACTAGCAAGGTAACGTTTTAGTATTATATTGTTTATTCGATCAAATATACATACAGTACAATTTTAGGCAAGGAATTCCCTATTTTTTCGGAGATTGAACAGGAGTTATGATATGGAGCCATTTGGGTGGAAAAAACATTTTTTTAAGCAGTCCTGGCTGAGTAGTCATCTTGTGATACAGATTATTTTCAGTGCCATTATTGACCCCAAACTGGCCTGGCTGATTATTCAGTCCATCTCTATTCAGAACTGTTTGAACCAGACTGTTAATTAAGCTGTTAAAGTGGCATTTTAATCGAGGATGTAAAGGGGATTCTTTGGCTTTTGCAGCTACCCTCATGTGGACATTAAAGGAACTGCAGCTTTGGTTTAAAAAACTTGTTTAAAACACCTTACTCCACCTTATAAAACACTACATAACTATTTTCTCTCATTCTGTCTAAAAGTGATATCTACTTCCATTATATCTCTCCCTTCTGCTGACTATCACACCGGGCTTTCCTGGATGAAAAATGCGCTCAGATGTGCCGAAAATTTACAGCTGTGCCTTTTCTCAATACTGTAGCCAGTGCAGGAGTCTACATTAACTGGATTTGAATGAGGGACTTTGGCAGGTCTTTGGTTGGTGTGGTTTGGGCTGCTGACAGTGAAGCACAGAAGCAGCCTGGCAGAGTTTTGACTATTTGACTGAGCTGCTCCTCTCCTTCACACCGGCTTCAGACTCCTCTCAGACTCCGGCTCCTTCATTCTCATCACATTCCCGTTTCCTGCGGCATCATCTGACTGACTCTGTTGGACACACATGCACTTTTGTGTTGTATTACGTTCACTTTTATTGAATTTGAGTCTTTAGAGGGTTGGGGTAGAGGGGTGGGGGGTTGTGCTTAAAGCAAAAGAAGTTTGACTAAATTGGTAAACTTTCATTTTCAAATGTTATCATCTCATTATGTTTGGCAGAATGACTCTGAGCTGCTGAGGTCTCTCTTTTATCCGGAGGCTGTGCCAAACATTCTGCGAATTTGTTCCACGTGTTATAAAAAGGGAAACCCAAGAACATTAAACCAACTGTATCATTTATTTAGCGCTCTCTGTAAAAAGAGAGTCCGTTCAGCGCCAGTGCCGGAGAGTATCAGGCCCAGACATGAGCTGGATGATGGCGAGGCGTGGACAGTGCAGGAGGCCCGTAGTGTTGAGGCATGAAGAAGGAAATGCGCCAGGGCACACCAAAACCCGAGCATCAGTAGATTTCACAGCACAAGGGTGTGACTGTTGGCTCTTCACAGACATCCCTCTTTGTGTTTGCTTTTGTGGAAGATTGAGTAAGATTTTGAAGCAGCATGGGGCATCTCTGACAAAAAAAAAAAAAAAGTTGTGACTATTGTGGTGAATGTGCGGAGGGAAGTGGATGAGTGAGGTGTCAGCTCAGAAAGCACCATCTCAACAGCAGTGGCAGCTCTTTGATGTGGCTTCCTCTTTGAAGAACTGACACCCTTCTCCTTTTCACAGTGCCTGGAGCCCTGCAAGGAATCCTGGGACCTGAAGGAAAACCAGTGCCAGGATTTATGCGAGGTATGTCACTACCCACAAACACCAAGGTTGCCTCAGATTCGAGTGTTTGAGCTTGACTGCTTAATGGGAAAATTCAATGAGGGGAAAGTTTTTGAGGAGTGTGAAGTAACTCTTTCTGCGCTGTAACAACATTGAATCAAAGCTGGTTCATGCGCTCACCACTCCTCTGAGTCATGAGCTGAAATGTAAACAAGACAATCCCTGTTAGCCTACAGATTGCTCTCTTTGCAGCCAGACAGGTCGCTCTTAAAAAGTAACCTGACATATATTTTTCCTCTCCTCCTCCTCCTCTTTCTGCTCAGCCTCTCTTCCCCAAGAAGCACTATGAGTGTCTAACCAGCTGTGAGTTCCTGAAGTCCGTAGAAGGAGTGAAGCAAGGCGACTGTCCGGCCCCGGAGAAAGCCAGCGGCTTTGCAGCAGCCTGCGTGGAGAGCTGTGAGGAGGATGGAGAGTGTTCAGCTGTGAAGAAGTGCTGCTCAAACGGCTGTGGCCACACCTGTCAGCTGCCCAAAAACCTCTATAAAGGTAAAGCAGAAAACTACCACAAAAAAAACAATCACATGTGTCACTAAAAGTTATAAGACTCCAGAGCAGGTTGATGTGGGGTTACCTGCGGTTACTGGGGGTAAAAGTTTCTGATGAATGACCCCTCAAATACTCTTTAACAGAGCAACCGAGCAAATGCATTTGATTGATCGTGGTTGCTTTCTGTACCACTGCAGGGCACATTTAAAGTTGTCGGTTACTTTTCTGAGAGTTTGAGGCGTGCAGCTGATTCTCAATCAGAGCCTCTTGTGACTCACCACCAGTCGATTTTTTGGGGATTGGAAGTAGCACAAGTAAGATAGTATCCAGCACATATCCAGACTGTTAGAAAGTATAACATACATACAGTTTCATGTGAGTAAGAGGAAAGGTAGCATAGAAAGATAACTTCAGAATTTAAATGTGTTCATTTTTAAAGATGCACTGATGCTTCCCTGGACCTCTTGACAGTCATCTTCAATAACTGCTGATTCAGAAAAGAGGCAAAAGAAGTTACCTCTCAGACAAACCCTTTTTTTCTTTTGTTGTCATGGTTAGATGTCAAAGAAAAAGTTCGTGATTTTTCGTAAGTGCAGGTTTGCGCCATTGCACCATCGAAAGTTCTGCAAGAAGTCAAATAATTTCCAAGAGGAGAGATTATTAGCAACAAGAGCATAGGGCCCCATTAAAGCTTATGATAGGGCTGGGCAGTATGGCCTCGAACCAATATCACAATATATTGAGCAGTTCACCTCCATGATGATAAATGGACGATAACTTCTCCACAAGCTGCTCACCCCCTCCCACATTAACTTATCTACTTCAGCCACCGCTCCAACTTTTGAACCGTCCTCCATCTCCTTACCTGTCTTTCTCTCTTTGTTATGGACTGGATTGGGTGGAGTCACATCTCCAACATAGGACAGCGTCTTTTTTTATCTATTTTTTTGACACAGAACATATTGACACGGGCAAAATGACGTCAGTAATTGACATAGATTTTGGTATCAGTAAATTTTCGATTTATCGCCCAGCCCTAGATTATGTACAAAGGCTCACGCAGACCATGACTCACTCTCTTTCTAGTTTTCTCTCTTTATTCACCTCACTATCTCTTAATAGATTCCCAAAAAAATCTATAAAACCCCCCAAAAGAGCTAAGGCGTGATTACAGTTGAGCTGTGTTAGTGCGGTGTTGCTGACTCTAAATGTAAAAAGGGCTAATTTAGCTAAACAGAGCAGTGAAGAAAAGACTTGACAAAGCATTTGTTTTCAGCCAGAGCCAACAGCTTTATCAGCTGAAAGGCTACGCAGCACCAATCAGCAGGCAGACACTGTTAGCAAATGGATGGCTTGCTTTGGCTTGTCTTCCATGGGGTTATAAAAGACCAAAACAGAGCTAAAAGTGGTGTGAATTTTAAACTCTTATCCGCTAATGGGACAGAAACCCATTTCTGAATTAGTTGCTTTGCAAGTGCGACAAATGTAAATTAACTGCTGGCTAATAAGTCTTCTATGTCAGCGAACAAGGTGACGAGAAGTCCATCTTGTACAAAAAAATGTAAAATACAAGTTGACTTTGGTGATTAAAACAGTATCAGGGACATTCTTTTAGAATATAAATAGTTATAGGAAGTCAAAAGTTTCTCAGCAAGCCAAGACAAAGTAGGTCGGACCAAGTGTTTTAATATCCGATTATGTGACAATGTAGTTTAATCGTCCATGTCTGTAATGACTCACCTCCTCTTTTAATTATGTCTAATAATGTTTCCGTGAAAGACCAAATTAATTGAGTTCGTCAGCTGAATCGTGGATCCTCTCTATCTCTATTTATCGGGTTCAATTAATGACGTTTTTTGACGTCAAGTCTTAAGGTGATTAACTGTAGCAGTTTGCATAATTTTCAATAATTGTGTCAAATCTATTAATCCCTCTCCATCAAACATTAATTTTAAATCTCAGTGACGCAAATTGCGGATTGTTTGGAATTATTTTTGGCAGCCTGCTCTGAATTATAAATCTTTATTCCATCCCTGTGTATTGAACTTCACCCTCGCATCCCTCACGCTGTTCCTGTCGTAATTTGGAGCACATCCTCAGTCTTAGATTTGCTGGAGAAGCTCCAGGCTTTCACAGACGCAGATACACCCAAAAAAGTCTTTGCTCCAGTGAAACAGCTTAATAGCGCAGCCCAGGGCGGTCAACGATCTGAGGGTGCTGAGTCGTTATGTGAGCAAACCAAGAGCCTCTGAACTCAGAGATGGGAGCTGGAACTACATTATATACACTATCAGAGTGCAATTTCTGGCAGCCCGGGGCCATAACAAAGTTTGAGGAGATGTTGAATTGAGAGCAGAGGAGGAAGATGAGTCTAAATCAAGCTGTGAAGCGCAGCAGTGATAGCTGTGTGTGTTTTGAATCCTGCTGCAGTGATTGTAAGCATGTTTTACTCTGTGTACTGTATGTGATTTTAAGTCTCCGCTCGCCTCTATTTGATTTGGAAAAATCCTGAGGGACTTCACGGTGGATGTCACGCTCAAAAGGTAAACCGCACATAAATTGGGGGAAAGATGAAAGCGAGCGTGACCTTAAAAAATTTCAGTACAGTGACCCCATCAATGAAAACCATCCGTCTCACTCTGAGACCTTCAAATCAAGCAGACGACCTGCTGATTTAGTCCAAACACTGAGCTCATGATGGTACGCCATCAGCAGTGCACTTACCCTGAATTACACTCAGCGTTTTGGTGAGAGTCCACATGGGATTCCTGTCCCGGTGCTCGGTGTTAAAGGTCTAATTAGCTGCTCATGGTTTGGAGAGCGTAATTGTTTCTGTGTGTGCAGGAGTGTGTACGCGGTCCTCGCTATGATGAGCTGTGATGCTGGAAGCCATTAGCAAACACAAGCGAGAAATGGAGCGTTTCCCCCTGCTGAGATCACTCTCAGATGTGCGTCTGTGTGTGTTTTTGCATGTGTATGTGTGTGTCTTCAGGTTAGGGTCCCCAGCCAATGTGTAGGTCCCTTATGGAGAAAAAGTTCCAGTGTTCAGGGTCTCTAAGAAACAGGACCCCTGCTGGGCTTTTGATGTGCCACAAAGCTTTTTCTATTTCACATCGGCGAAGCCTGATGCTGTATCTGCTCTGTAATGATGATTTAAAGTTGTATAGCGGAGGTGCGCCTCTGATAAAACATGCTGCGCTAAATAAAAATAGATGCCGCTACTTCTTTTATCTGCACATATGTCTCCCTAGTTCATAGATTTCCTCTATTCCTCGAGTAATCCAGCCTTACTTATTTTGTGTGTTTCTGATCAAAAGAAGCGCACAGCTCGACACGATAACTAGAAAACAAATTTGGGGCGGAATAAAATGAAAAATATGCGAGAAATGAATGTGTCAGAGTGAATTTAACTCCAGAGAGAGTAACCGTAACGCTGTCAAAACAAGTCTGACACATGATCCGTCCGTCAGCTCATCCCAAGTTTACCGTAAGTCCTCCTCGTGCTACAATCCCAATATTTGTGGTGCTTTCCCTCAACCTGTAATTAGAGCCGTCATTATGATGGTATGTGCGTGAGTATTGAGAATTATATTCCTGGAGTGTAATTGTTGGCATGATGAGGGTTATGAATGAGAGCCACACTTTTGACGGGGCTGCAGCAGAAGTTACATCACGGCGTGGAGTGCATGTGTGGCCACTGACGAATGAACGCTGTATGATTCTTGGACCGAACCTGACCCAGAAGTTATCTTTGGAGAGAACATACTGAGAGGTTTCAGTGCCCTCCTACATATTGCGGAAGAGAAAGTCGTGTGTACGTGTGTATAAGTGTGTGTGTACATCTGTGTGTATGTGTGGTTTCAGCTTTGCAGATGAGCTAAGACAGAGGGAGAAGAGGAATGCTGTGGTTACTCTGGTGTTCGTTGTTGCACAGGAAATGTGACACATTTGTTCGCACACACACACACGCACGTACACACAAACACTCGGCTGTGGAGCTGTGAAACCACAGCACAATGACCCCCAGCTGTTAGCATGCAGAAAGCTGTTATCAGCAACACAAAACAAAGTACTGGCTCCATATGCGCGTGGCTCAGGGTCCCTCCTCCGTCTCCCAGCGTTTTATATGCATCGATCAATCACTTTTACACGCTCTGTATGAAGGCTAAATAGAAATATAAGTAGATGAAGTGCTCTGCATACAAAACACACTCTTGATTATGTTGTTTACAGACATGAGGAGTGCTAGCCTTGAGCATGTGTTGATGCCGCGTTGAAATGCGGCGCGATGGCGGCTGCGACAGAAGTCCGACATAATGGTCTGGAGTGCGGCGGTGATTTATGGAGAAGTGTGGGATGGATTCAGCCTTCTCCTGTACTTCCAAACTTGCTTTTCCAATCTCCATCTCATTATCACTGTGCCCGACGCTCAATCAACAACTCACTACGTCTCCACTGCAATAAATTCACTTGAGAGAGTCAGTCTGACTTGGCAGAGCCTTTGGCCCAGTCCTGCACTTAATAAATCTCTAATTTATTGCACATGGCCGCATCAGGCAGGCTGGATGCAAAGTGCAACCATGCAAATGAACTATGCATATTGTGTGTGTGTGAGAATGTGTTTGTGCTGGTATGTTTTGTGTCTGAATGAGAGAGAAAGACGTCATGCGCAGTCTCACATAGCTAGATGCAAACTAAGTGTATCATCACTAAGAAGCGCAGCTACCAAAACACATCGCTCCGGCCAGGAAATCTCACAATGTGTCACGGCAGAAAGATGAGGCTGTTGATCCACAGCGTGTATTAAATCTGTTGCAGTGAGGTCATGTCTCATTTTCGAATCTATCTGTCCAGATCTGATGGTGTCATTTATCTTTCCACAGGAGAAGAAAGGGGAAAAAACAAATATCACGCTGAGTTCACTACAATGTTCCATAAAGTGGTCGTATTAGCTCCTTTCACGCCATCATCTTCCGTGCTTGTACTTTTAGGAGTCCCTCTGAAGCCCAGGAAGGAGCTGGTGTTTTTGGAGCAGCCTTCGGGGCAGCTGGAGATCCGCTGGTCATCCAAATTCAACATTTCCGTGGAGCCTGTTCTCTATGTTGTGCAGCGCCGCTGGAATTATGGCATCCACCCGAGCGAGGATGATGCTACAGAATGGCAGACCGTGGCTCAGGTAGGAATCGACTCCCCAGAGAACTGAAGCATAACATGAAAGTTTCTTCTCATGAGAACTTGCAGACTGTCCTCATTTGACTGACTCTATTGATCAGACTACTGGGATTTGCATCACTGAAACACTCCAGCGACACATGTCCCAGCACGCCACATGCTACATCTGTGAAAGTGCTGCGCTGCGCTGACAGACTGTTGCACACGGTTGCACATTCCTCACACTCGCAGTGTCTTTGAAAGTTTCAGCAAAGAGAAACACACAGTTGACTGATGTGGCAGCAAACTCACACGGGGCTGTGACCCTGCGTGAACCCTGACCCCCTGTGGTTTTTACCCCCCCATCTGTCCTCTTTAGACCGCGGAGGAGCGCGTCCAACTGGCCGACATCAGAGCCAGCAGATGGTACCAGTTCAGAGTGGCTGCTGTCAACGTCCACGGGACCCGCGGCTTCACTGCACCCAGCAAACACTTCCGCTCCTCCAGAGGTCTGTCTGTGTGTGTGTGTGTGTGTTTGTGAGTGCTTGTGTGGCCATGCTTTGTGATCAAGTTCCTGTTTGACACCCGCCGCCCTCCATTTGTTATGGTTAAGACCTCGGAACAGGTGGAAACTCTTAGAGTGAGTTTTAAAACCTGATTCGACGTTATCTTAACAAAGGGAGTGTGTGTGTGCTTGTGTACTTTCTGCATGTCCTCTCCAAACTCCCTGAAATCCTCCAAGAAATCGTGACAAGAATCATATTTTACATCTTCACAGAGGCTAGGACATATTTTAGTCAAGCTGAAGTAGGGCTGGGCGATTTGAGAAAAAGTTTATTCAGATAATTTTTTCCGTATCAGTCGATATCGATATTTATCACGATATAATAAAAAAACTTGTTAATTTTAAATGTTCCCTATTACACTTAAATGAAACTTAACATGTACTGGACATAATTTGCAGTGTATATTACTCTGCTTCATCTCCCCCCTTAAAAAAAATAAAATACCTCCAGACCATGGACATTTTCGTGCCAGTGTTGTCACTGATGTCGTCATCTGTTAAACCTTCATCTGCATTTCTGCCGGCGGGGTTGCACTTGTTTTCTTTTTTTCTCACTGACAGTGCTGTCGGCTTCACCTGTAGCACCTGTTGCCTGTTATGGTTGTGTGTAGCTGCAGCCGGATACTACGCAGTTGTTTGCTACTTGGTTCTAATTCAGCACATGATAGGTTCAGCTATTGCTATTCGTATAGTCTACCAAAACATGGCAGAATGCTGGCTATCCAAAAGCATATTGACCATGTTTTATATTGATATTGCGGGAAATTAATTTTTTATATATATCATTATCGTTTTATCGCCCAGCCCCAAGCTGAAGCTGCTTTTAAGATTTCTTTCTTTAATTCTTCTGCTACTCCTTACAAAAGCACATGTGATTTATAGATGTGTGTCCTCCCTCCACAGTTTCCATACATTCACACAGTGAGCTAAATGGAGGGCTAATTCATGACCATGCCAAGTAGAATGAGAGTAATGAGGAGGGACTGTGTGCGTTTAACATTTCTCTTCTGTGCTGCAACCAGATCTTCGTTTCTGCCTTCAAAGCCGGGGTTTCCCCCTCTTTACAGCCATATAAAATGTAATATGTCTGAATTAGTCAGGATATTGCAGGTTTCAAATGAATGCAAGTGTTGTCTTGTTTTCAGAGGGGAGTGACGTTACCGAGACGGGTTTCAGATCTTTGCCACAGATTAGCAAAGTGAGCTCCGATGGCATCCTGTCTCTGCACTTTCAGACTCCTCTGCCCTGAGCTTTCACTGCTGAATGACACTAAATCACTGTGTTGTGCCGCAGATGGCATTTGTTAAAGCCACGGCCAATTGTTGTGCGGTTCCCAGGGATTAAAGGTTTTCTGAGTATAATATTGTGTCTGGATTGAATGTGATCCAGATCAGATACAGTGTGTTTGCGCCGCACGTAGAGGCGGAGTGAGCCCGGCTTGTATGCAGCTCTGGTTTGAGCTCCGCTAAATGAATATTATGCTTAATCTTTTCACCCTTACTTTATCAAACTTGTTTATTCCTTAACACATAATAGTTGTTTGGCAGAGAGGAATTGGCAGACGTCCAAAGTACTTTTCATTTTCATGCCAAATACTGTAAAATCTGTGCCAGATCCAAAAAGTACTAAAGTACTCGCTGGTGTGTGTTTTGACCCGTCTTGTCAATCCCCCATCATGCATCTGCTCCTCTTAGCGTTCTGGACGGCTGTCAGACCGAGCCAGACACCAGGTGGGGGAAAGGATTCTGCTGCAGGGATGGAAAGCGATCTCCAATCAGGCCAATCAGTGCCAGAACGGTGATAGATTGATGGGAGCTGTCATAGATTTGATGAGCTCCTGGCTGCTCTGTCATGCCATTGTTATTTACACAGCCCGACCTTATCATCTGATTGCAATTTTGCACTACTACACTTTTTAAGGGCAATTTGTAGGGACTGACTGCTTATTTATCTAAGATCAGCTGGTATGGGTGAACCCGTGTGTCCGATTGTGTGTTTTCGGGGTTGGATAAAATGTGTTTCAGGTGGTAGAGGGCAGGAAAGAGGCTGTGACGGGAATCATTTCTTCATTATTCCCTCATGGTTTGGCGTCTGGCATCAGCAGCTGGCGGTATTCTGGATCACAGCACATACAGATAGGTTCAGAACAAGCTGTAATGTGGACACACACACACACATACACACACACACATTTTTCAGAGTACAGGAATGTTGAGTGTGGAGCCAAAGTGAGCAGCATGTGTTTGTTAACCCCTGGCCTGAGCTCTCGGTCCTGCTGAACGCTGTCATGGACATGACATGACACCTGTCATAACATGTCATGGCAGATTGTCAATGGCGGGCTAATTACTTTACACAGCGTCACACCAGTCCCCCTCCTGTTCCTCAGTGTGGTGATGAAAGCTGTCTGTCTTTCTTCTTATACGTCCACCTGAAACAAAAAAGCAGCATGACTGTCATTTCTTCTCAAACAGAAGTCTTTAAAGGGATATTCCAACGTGAAATTAATTTAGGGTTAAACACACTGTAACATGGAGTTAGACATCCCCTTGGGTGATGAATGTTGCCAACCGCTTTCTTCTCTAGATATAACGACTTTAGTTACTTTAGAGACCGCACTATAGCGATACACAGCAGTCTGAGGAGCCATAAACAAACCTCAACCAAAACGCCACTCTGTAGCCACAAATAATGCTCAGAACAGCACCTAACTTCATCAACAGTACATATAGGGTGCCAGCCACAGCACTAGCCACCAAACATCTTTTTAACTTTGACCAATTTCTTGAGCAAAGAGACTAAAGACAACTCACCTACTCTCAATATTTGTGTCTGAAGAGTGGCTTTTTGGTTGAGCACGGGGCTCCTGGGACTGCTGTGTATTGCTATCATGAGGTTGTTCCTAAAGTTGGTATAACTAGAGAAGCAAGCGGACGGCAACATTTATCTCTCAAGGGGGTGTCTAACTCTGTGTTATGGTGTGTTTGACCCTAAATTAATTTTACGCCAGAATTTCCCTGTCTGCATGTCTTAAAATCTTGTCTTCTCCATCCTCAGATCCTGCAGCCCCTCCCACCCCGACCAGCCTGCGCGTCACCAATGTGACTCTGGGTGATGAAGGCTCCATCACAGCCCGTCTCAACTGGACCCTGTCTGAGGAGCCCGACATCCCTGTACACCACTACAAAGTGTTCTGGAGCTGGACAGTGCCCACCAAGTCCATGGTGCCGTCCAAGAAGAAAAGGAGAAAGACCACCAACGGGGTAATCTTCTCACCCTGTCTGAGTGATCTGTCTCTTTTCTTTCCCTGTCTCCTCTATCTTAAGAGTCTGGTCCAGGATTCTCTCAGCATCTTCCTCTCTGGCTTTTACACATGACTGTAAGTCTCCACACGGGCCAGCAGGAGAAACTTAGATAAACACTGAATAGAAGCTGCATTTATTTACACGGACTTGTGAGGCTATGAATCACATTTTGATTGATGCAATGTGTTCCTGATGGTTTTAATTCCTGATACTGAGGGAGAGAGATTGAATGCGCTGTAAATCTGTGTGATAAATCGCCTTATTTATGGTGATAAATCAAGTTCTCAAAGTCTGTGTCCTTAACTATCTGGATTTGAACAGCTGAATTTATTTTTGCAGTTGATGTTTTCTGCTTAATTTTTTAGGGATTTGTTTATCCAATAACTTTATTTTGAACGTAGACCGCAATAGCTTGAAAGTCAAGTGGTTATATAACAACATTTGTTTACCATGAAAGCCCTCAGCCTGTTTATGTAACTAATAGAAACCGAAATGGGGCAGAATAGCTAAAATCACCACATTGTCACGTATAAAAGAGAAGTATCACTGATTTCAACTGGAAATGTTTGGAAGAGTTTAATTTGGAGCAATTTCAACTATGTGGTGCGGGCAGAGAGAAGAGTTTTCACAGCCTTTTGTCTGCGCTCTCACATTCACAGAGACCCCATTTCTGGATCACAAAGGGAGGATAAACACAGTTTTGTTATGAAAGCTTAAACAAACAGGCCCGCAAAAACTTCCTTACTTGGAAAAGTGCAGACTAATATTTTGTTAGTATTGGAAATTATTTTTATTGCATCCACACTGGACGCAGAATGACTCATCGGTGTATCAATATTGAAGAAACGGATCCATAAGAACACAAAAACTGAATTAATTACCAAGAGAAATTATACAATCTGATCATTGTCTTTTCTCATTAATCAAACTCTGACATATCAGAGTCATTCAATCGCTTGTGTACACTTTTTTTATGCCATTTTCTCTCTTTTTTTTTTAATCAGATCTGACCTTTTCGTTACATACCTCCTGTTTTTTTCTGAGAGAGCATTTCATTAGAGGCCCGAGCAGAAAGACAGATAGTCTGGACAGTCCACACTCACCTCCAGAGTCTTCTCCTGAATTAGTTTATGAAATGCAGAGCAGATGTGGCACAGGGGACGTAGAGGTGGGAGACATCAGACACCTATTGACACATGTACTACTGGTTTCCACTTTGGCACCTCGGGGCTCTGAAAGCAGCCTGCTGGCAGAGGAATGTCAAAACAGGCACAGTCAATAACAAGAACTCATCAAGCTCCTGCTGATGAAGGAATGCTGCAAGTCAAACACAGTGAGGAAGCCCTGGGAGGCTCTGATAACATGGCTCCCTCACAGGGCCCTGAAGGCTATCTCCTCGCCATGATACCTTCCACAGCGCCACATGTGTTCTCAATAAGCAGCGCTTTCCCACAGGCCTGTATTGGTCCAAGCTGAGCTGAGCTGGGACCATGACTGGAACAGTGACAAGGCTTTGAAAGGAGCCTCCAGTGACAGCGTGGTAAGGTACAAAACGCTAATGTGCGTGCGTTTTGTGCTGTGGCAGGCTCAGAGCTGGGTGGACCTGGAGGGGCTGCAGCAGAACAGCAGCTACACTGTGGAGCTGCAGGCGGTGACGTACTGGGGACAGGTGCGCCTGAAGAGCTCCAAGGCTTCTCTGCACTTCAACACCAACCAGAATAATGACTCAGGTAAGAGCTGGTGCTGATTTCAATTTATTTCGGTCTCTCAGCTGTCAGGCTTGTCATTTTTATGGATCCACCGGGGATGGAAATATTTTTCCAGTTAGTCCAAAACTTTATGTCTCAAGTAAAATATCACATCTCTTGGCCTGATTAAAATGCAGACTCAAAATGCTGTGTGGACCACTCACAGTCTTATAAAGATGAAACACAATGACTGTCTTGCTCCAATAAGTTTTCCCGAAGCACCACCATGAATTTGACTTATGTGGCTTTTAGGGGAATGGCTGCGCAGCTCCCGGATTGATCACTGACACTGGACAAATTTGGCATACACAAACTGTTGCCTCAAGGACAAAACTCAATCACTCTGGTGATTCCTCGACTTTCTAAAACTTCTTTATCTTTCACTGCAAGTTAAAGCCCATATCAAGATGATTTACATGTGATGTTAAACTGTGGATGCTTGAACACCAAATTTAGATTCTCAGTGTTCTGAACCTGCTAAATACCAGTGTGTTAGCCATAGACTGTACGCAGTCTGCCTCCTCGCTAGGTGAAACCACTCCAAGAGCAGCACCCTCTGGTGACTGGCTGCAGTATAGGTCATAAATCCCGCCTCCTCCAGCAATCCCTATGTAGTTGTGGACAAATTTTAAAAATTAATTACACAGAATATAATTTTTTCTCCCTCCTTCTTGTGATGTTGACATGTAGTTACAGTAAGACTGGTTTGTGCTCAAGTCCTCTTTTTTTCTGTGCAGCTCTGTTTTTAAAAGTTATTAGGGGGTTCATGTTTTCTATGATTGACACTTGATACAGCCTATTGGTGTACCAAGATTGCGTAGCTCACCCAGAGGGATACGCTGTTTGAGCAGAGCGTCATCACAGCGACTCTCCCACCGAATGTGTAAAACGTTACTGCTGGTTTCAGGAAATGAAGAAAAATTACGGAAACACTGAGAGCTTTTCGGCTTTAAATCCGTATACTGGCAGAAAGCGGAACCAAGTTGTCCATAGTATATACACTTTATGGTGTTAGCATGTCATACTTACCATGCTAATGATTAGCTTGAATCCTCGTAGCACTAAGTGAGCGTGTTTCCTCTCTATGGCTGTCACATTATCAGATCTTCAGGATTTTATGGCCTTATAATGTAACAATTATCACAATATTTACAGTAAAATTTACAGTAAAACAGACACAACAGCCCTAACAGAGAAGATAAATATAACATCACACAGTTAAACATGGATAGACGACCAATGACCATAACTGGTAAGGTGTCCTTGAGTAAGGCACCAAACCCCCAATGGCTCCCTCTCACTGTGACATCTCTCTGTTGGTCCATGTTCACAATTCCAGCTTATATGTGTGCTGCATGCTCAATAACAGGGAGTAAAAACTGAATCTCCCCTCAGGGGTTAATAAAGTATGACTTCTTCTTCTTCTCCTCTTTGTAAATTTAAATCTGTAGTCCTTGAGCTGGTAACAGAATAACAGAAATCTCCATTAAATTTATAAGATGTAAATTTCAAATGCATAAAAAGGAACACAAAACACAATTTGCAATGTGTAGGTTATCTTGCAACCAAATGAGTAAGATGAGCATAAAATCAAAAACGTACAGGGTTATTCATCGTCTTTATCAAATAAGAAAATCTACATAGATCAGCAGGTTTAAGGAAGCTCATCCATACTGAGTGTGTTTAACCATATCAGAGGAGTGCAGTGTTCATCTATGCCTGTGTGTTTTCTTGAGGGCTTGATAATCCTAATTTGCTCAGACTCCTCTGGCAAAGAAAAATCTGAGGGTTAGAAAAAAAACAGAAAACTCACATCTGCATTTGAAAACACAGAGAAAGCCTCGGTGCTTTGAGGTCTCCAGTGGGAAAAACCCCCTAACCTTGGCAGTTTAAGAGCCATGTATACCACTCCAGTTACACCACATGCACTCTTAAGGAAGGTGTCGTAACTGTTTTGATTATACAAAGAAATAATTTTGTGTTTCCGTTTCCATGCTGAAGAGTTTAGCCACAACACAGCCTCTTGCACTTTCGGTGTCTTAGCTACAGGGGCAAACATCTCTGCTTTCTCCCCCTCAGTGAAACCAGTGCTCAAGTCAAAAAAGGAGGAGATACTGCCTCTCAGTTCGACCCTGGCTAAACGCCCGTCTGGCCCTCTGGAGGTGGGAACGCCCTTCTACCAGGATGGTCAGCTTCAGGTCCGAGTCTACTGGAAGAACCGCGGAGGTATGCACCCTACTGTACTGATTTATAGCTTTGTTAAAATCGAATTAGCACTCCATTATACCCATCAATCACTATGACTCATGCGCAGTTTAATAAAGTGCTGTGACTGATTCTTAGTTACTCAAACATTGGAGGAATCCTTTTTTATAAAGTGCTATCAGATGGTATAAATAAAAAATGAAACAGTGTGAGTAATGGGAGTAAAATGGGTATAAACCTGCACATGCTCTGGTGGAGCCACTGTGTAGAAGAAGAACAATAAACACACAGAGCTAAAGCCCTGCAATGAGATTTATTGACAGCTGTATTTAATAGATCCTCGCCCGCGCATTAGAGACCAAGCGGCCCATTTTGTTTTACAAGACCTGATGTCATCAGGAACAAGAACCGGTCTTTGGTTGCTGCGCAGCGAGGGGTTAAAGCCTATAAGGAATGCCTGTCCCAGCGGCGTCCATTCCCCAACCCCGCTCCTCTTAATACCAGAGTGGAAATATGGAAACCTTGAAAGCCGTGCTCTCAGGGTAACCTGTCAAGTCCCATTCACTGGTCTATGTTATGTTGCTAATATATGTCATCGCCTCAGCCAAACTCCACATCTTAGAGTCAAGAATGCAAACGCTGGCTGGAGGAGAGGCCTGGTGAGACACCAAATGCTGAATCAGAGTGAGACAGAAAAGATAGAGTTGGCCCAGAGCTGTTAGCGGAGCTTGGCCTGCGCTCACAGAGCTGAGTGATGCTGACGAGGATCAAGAGCGGCTGGGGAATGGCAGTGTTGCAGAGCGGAGTTAATCCAGGTCCAGGTCTTGTTTGCAGCGCTGGTGTGTACGCGACTGCCACTCATTAGTCAGCGGGATGACCCTGACTTTGACTCCGCACATGCAGATGGCCAGGAGAGTTGGAGTCCCTGGACATCTGTTTCTTGTGACAGACTAAAGGGACAGGTTAACTGAACCGTGATTTAACTCTCGCTCATTGTCTCTGTGATCCAGAGCAGTCGGGCTCTGGGTTCTCTCCAGCAGACAAAAGAGAGCTGTACTGTACGGCAGCCCAGATAATATATCACTGTCTGTGGACAATAGACAGCAGACGTCCGGCGGTGGCGGTACTTCTAAGGCTCGCTTCCAGCTACGATTTATCAAACACTGCTGATGCTCTGTTCTCTACCTGATTTCCATGTCCTATTTCATGTTTTACATACCGCTCCCCCTCTCTGACAGACCAGCCTCAGCATATCTTGTTTATTTTTTCCCGCTTCCCTGCAATTTCTCTCTTCTGCTTCCAAAGAGCTCAGGGGCTCCGAGTTGCCAGATCTGTGTCTAAGCCTTCAAAGGACCCCTTTTATCTCCCCACTACAACCCAGGCCCCCGCCGAGGGGCCAACATAGCATAACTCAATTATTAATTGGAGAAGTATTCCACATATCCGAGCGACACAGATGAATGAATTATAAATTTTGCAACATAACATGAAGGCGATGGGCAGATAAACACTACTGATGAGCTCAGGAGGGGCTACTGTACAGTAATGAAGAGAGAGTTGCAGCTGGAGTCGGAGGCTGAGAGGGCGAGTGTGTCCCAGCATGACCAGGGCTGCTGCTCTGCTGATGAGAATGCAAATCCTTAAAGTTGAAGCAGAAGAGTTTGGGGAAGGAACAGAGCCTTCAGCGCACAAACGGAAAGGTCTAAGAAAGCAGAGAAGCATTTTTAATAAACTAATGCAAAGATAAAGGAGGAAGTGCTTTCAAGTTTCCTCTTATTTTCAGAGATGCAAGTTTTCCTGATTATCAATAATGGAGATAGCGATATCTGATCTCTGATAGGGAGTGTTGTAATTTAGGAGATACTCATCAGTTAATTATTTCAGGCTGTCAGATCGTCTTTTTATGTCTGGCAAGAGTTCAGTGGGTCTGTTGGTGAAACATAACTCTCAGTACAGTTAGTACAGTACGCTACAGTTTTAATGTGTGTAAAGCTCTAACAAAACTCTGCAACTGCACATTTTACACTGATCCCACAACAGCCTGTTGATGGTGTCACAGTACTATAGTGTTGGGACATTCTGTACATACACTCTGGGCTCCATTCAGATGAGTGGAGGTAGTTCCTTTTTGATTAATGACATTATGTGACCAGTAGATTTAGTTGAGGCTTTTGTCCAACATAGCGTTGACTCAGTGAGAGCTCTCTGAAGCCCGTTGTCCTCTAAAAGACTAATCATCATTGATCAGGAGGAGCTCAGGGTTTAAGCTAACAACCAGTGCAAACAAACTGATGACATGCTTTTTTATAAGAGCTACAGGTAACTTACAAGTTACTTTTTAAATTATGATTTCACTACTAAAACCTATGATGCTCTGTATATACTGGGTTGTTCTGATAAAAGGTTGAATAAATAACTTGGAATTGCCTCCACCTTGTTTCTTTATTTTTTTTTTCTCTTTAATATAATTTTTTTATTGAGTTTCATGCTTCCACCACAGGATACATGACATTTTTCCAAACAGTGTGATAGCGTAACGTAACGTAACGTAACGTAACGTAACGTAACGTAACGTAACGTAACGTTACGTAACGTAATGTAACGTAACGTAATGTAACGTAACGTAACGTAACGTAATGTAACATAATTTATCATAATTTATCATAATTTACATTCTTGTTTGGTGGTGCCGGAATAACATGAAACCCTTAACATGTGTCCATCTTGTTTCAAGTCAGCCTTAATATATCCAGCAAGCGAAAATTATGTATTGATCAAATAATGGGGAAAAAAAAAACCTTAATTGGCGCCTACTCTTTCTGTCTGTCATGTGTCAACAACTATTTTTCGGGACTTAAATGTTGAAAGAAAGAAATGTTTTCTGAGAATTCAGCCTAGTCAAAAGATCAGATCAATGTCACGTGAAAAAATTAATCAAATTTTAGCGGAACCTGCTTTGTCCACAGAGGGCGCCAAAGTCAACACAAATCAAAAGTCCCATACAGGAGCTTTAAGTGTTTGAATTCAGGACTTAGACTTGCTGTGGGTTTTGGTATTGTTTTAAAAAACATAACAAAAGTCAGAGATTTTCTTGTGATCAGAGTTGTTTCTTTGCTGTATTGTGAGGTTTCTCTTCTCTTTTCTATTTCAGACCCCGCTGTGAGCCGCTACCATGTTCAATGGGTGCCTGAGTACTGCAGCCACAACGAGACCCGAGGACCAGAGAAATCAGTCACGCAGGTAAAGTCTTAAAACAGCTGCTTCACACTGCCTCCTATTGAGAGTCTGATCACAGAGGGAGTGAAAAGGAGAGAGCTACGGCTTGATCAGCAGCTCTGTCCTATGCAAAGCACGTGCCTAACCTTTTGTCTGATGCCCAGAAAGGACAGCTCTAAAGAAAACAGCTCTACTAAGTAAGCCCTGTAAGCGCCTGACTCGCTCTGAAATCACTGGCTGTTGTTTTGAATATTATGAGTCAGTCGTGTGGTCAGCCATGTGGTGTGTTGGCCAATAAAACGCATTTACTTAAACAATGTTTCCCGGAATCCGGGTTCAGTCACCTCCAACGGCCCCGGCACTGCTCCTGCATGGGGCTTTCTTTTGAGGGAGCAGTCGAAGTCTGTGTAGGGGATGGGAGAGTCTGGCAGTGGTGTTGTTGGTGGGGGGTTCAGGCTGATGCAGCATGGCAGAGGCCTGGCAATCAACACATTCTTTGGGGAGCAGCGCTCTGGTTGCTAGGAAATATACATCCTTTTTCTATAGATCACTGGGATGGATTCCAGGCCTGCGCTTTCATGTGAGCACAGCGCCTCATTCACTTTTAATCAAAGCTGTTTCATATCAGTGAGAATATACGCACACCCTCTCTCAGGGGACGGCCTATTAATGTAGAAGCTCTTTATTACAAATGCAAGATCTACATCCACCAGTCAGCTGGATCCTTTTTTGTTTTCTCAAGGAGCGACGAGAAAGGCATTTTATGAGAGGATCAATAGATGATTAAAGTCTGAAATGAGTGAAAAGTGTAGCGCAGAATTAATCAACATGGATTCTCCTTTTAAATAACATATTCATTCAATCTGGCGACTGCTTTGTAATTAAATTCTTCTTGTCTTTATGCTACATATGGAAGCTGTATAAAAATCATTTATATCATGAGTTAAATAGAAGATAAGTGGTCTAACCCCCACCATGTGAGTGTTCAGTGTCCTGTAATGTGGGGCATGTTCAGAGAAAAGTAATCCGCTCCGTCGCTGTGTATTTAATTATCTCTGAAGCTCCATGGGACCTGACCTGGGTGACATGTCAAAGTCATCATGGCTGAATAATGTGTTTCTTGGCTCAGGAGAACTACATCAACCTCCCCGGCCTGCTGTTCTCCTGCAAGTACAAAGTCACTGTGCACATGCTGAAGTCTAAGAGACGCTCCAAGGACGAGAGCACCACCTTCCTCACCCCATCCTGTGCCACCATCCGGAGCAAGACTCACAAACACATCCCCTGCCCCGGGGAGGGGGGTGAGTATTGAGCTGTTGGATCCGTATTAGTGCAGACACAGTAATCAGACACTGCAGCGTATTATTACCATCATGATGGAGAAAATCAATGCACTCTCACAGAGAGAGAGCCAGAGAGAGATTTACATTCCAGGATGCAGAATAATTTGCTTTCTCGCAATGAGTTGAATAAAATATAAATAAAACTTTCATGCCTCTGCATCCAGCAGCTGATTAGTTAAGATCAGCATAATGATGGTAAACAGGGGTACTCTGTCCTCAGCTCCAAAAACTCACCAGATTGCAAAAAATATTTTATTTTCTTTGTAAACAACACATTTCAAAACAATTGCAAAGTTTCAGCAATAAAAAGTCCCTCTATATGCCCAAAGACTGTTATTTAACGACTTTTTGTTCAAATTATGTCAAACTGACTGCATGTGACGGGGTTTCAGTCATCTCGCAGGATTCTCATTTGCATAATCACCGTTCACTATCCGTCTCATTCCCCAGGCACCAACTTCAGACATAAACAAGTTGGCAGAAAATGATGATTGAAATATGATTGTATTGATTTAAATGATGATAATTTAAGTCTACAGCTTAAAAAAACACTCCCTCTTCACTCTGATACCACAGTCTGTGACATGTTTATGACAGCAGGTTCAGGTCAGCTGTCTTGTGGTGTGAATTAACATCTAATGTCCAAATCAGTTCATGATCAATTTCAAACCTTTTCAATTTCCATCGGTAGAAATATCAGACAAGATGAACAGGTCCCCCATTTATTTTGACATTTCTGTCCTCATTCAGCTCTCCTTGGGGCTTTAAAATGGACAAATCTTTAAACATAAATAAAGCAAATGTCTCTTGTTTTTACTCTGCTGCTAAAACCACTTCCTCTTGTGGCTTTGCGGATTGATTTGTAGATACACTCTTTCTGCAGTAAGCCACTCTAAGCAGGTGCTTACCTGACCCCAGCGGTGCAGTTTCAGTTCAAACATGCGTGTTGTATTAATCTTCTCCACTCATTCTTGGCAGAGCAGTTGCACTACTTTTTCAATGTCAACCCTCATCTGAAACAACATTTCTCCTGACAGCGCCTGCACTTCCAAAGGTTTTGGCTAAACCGGAGAACCTGACGGCCTCCTTTGCCATAAACGAAGGAAACATCACTGGCAACTTCTTGTGGCGTGTGTCCAGGGTAGCTCCGCATCAGCGAATCACAGGCTTCCAGGTCACCTGGGCTGAGATCACCACTGAAAGCCGACAAAACAGCCTCCCAAACAGCATCATCTCCCAGTCCCAGATCCTGCCTCCAGTAAGTTTGTTTCCATTAGAGCAGGATTGATGTCTTTTCTCTGCTAACTCCTGCAAAACCCACGGAGTAAAGACATTTTTCAAACGCTGTAGATGAATATTTCCATTCACCAAAGGGACCAGGCTCTGTTATATATCATCAATAAATTGTCCCTCTCAGTAGGAAAGTATGTTCTGTCTTCACATTTCATTTCTCAGCACCTGTCAGAGGTGAGGGTGATGCGAGGATAAGATTGTTGTGGTCTCTTTGCATGAATCCTGTGATAGGCAGCCTTGCGCGGACAGGCACAGGGAGAGATTTGAGGAAGTGTTGTGTCCTGCTGGAAGTTCTCCTCCTCTACCTTTTCATCTGCTTTTACATCTCCCTCTTTCATCCTCACTAAGAGCTCTGAAAACAGCCGCTCTTTGACATAATCTACTCCATCAACAACACGTTCCGCCTATCTGCACCTCCCAGCCTCTGGAGCTTGTCTATAAATAAAACCACCCACTGCACACTTTATCAAGCTGGCAGCGAGAAAGAGAGACAGTGAGCCTTATGAAAACAAAGTCTTTGTTTTTGTCTGCGGCTTGTGCAAAGACAGCTTCGCAGCTGACACTCCCTGGTTTACAGTCTGTTTGAATTCAAGTCACGTCATATTCAAACGCACATTCTGCTGTATTTCCACTGATTGCGTGTCTCCTTCCTCACTTGGCAGGATCATAACTTGCTTGTAGTGTCCAATCTGCGGCCGTCCACCTACTACAGACTGGAAGTGCAGGTCATAACAACTGGAGGAGAAGGTCCCGCCACTGTCAAGACCTTCCAGACCCCAAACATATTACCAGTCATTCAACACCGTAAGTGTTCAGTCAATGTGTTTGATGCTTTTTTCCACTGACACATTTTATATCAATCATGTTAAAGCTCTCATTTCAGAACACTGACACCAGCCAGCATACAAACTCTTTTATTTTAATAGTGATAGGTAAAGGTAAAATAAAGTGAAAACTCTAAAAACAATGTTGCAGAAACTTAAAAAAAAAGGTTTTGCCTCGCAAGTTTATTTGTGGGAAAATCTCAAAAATAATTAGAGTCATTTGCAACAAGCTTGTGACATGACAGGGTTTAAAAAAAGTCATTCCAGAGAGGACGAGTCTCTCAAAAGTAAAGGCAGGGAGAGATTTGCCACTTTGTGAGAAACTGCATGAGCACATAGTTCAACAACATCATCTTAATGTACCTCAAGGTAAAAATGGCAAGAATTTGGGGATCTCATTATCTGCCGTGCTTAATTTTGTTTAATCATTCAGAGAGCCCAGAGTAATCTTGACACAAACGCAATTGGCCAGTAATTGATGGCCACGATTTTCAGGCAGCACTGCATAGAAAACAGACATGGCTCTGTAGTGGAAATCACTGCATGAGCTCAACACCATTTGTCACTGTATCCACAAATGCAGGTTTAAACTGTTTAATGCAAAAAGAAAACCATTTATAAACATGATCCAGAGATTCTGGGCAACTTTTTTTTTAATCAGTTTGTTTATCATGTTGATGTGAAATAAGATTTATTATGTACATATTTTTCTTAAAGCTTCTATGAGGAGTTTTTTGGTGTTGATAAAACAAACTGAAATTGACATTGTTGCTTCTTTTCATGATACACAAAGAAAACAGGACCATCAGTGACAAGATTAAAGATTTTTATATTGTCATTTTTAATGCCTGAAATTGGTGTAAGGCGGGGTAAGTGACAGTGCTGTTTATAACGTAGATGTATAAGAGGTTAATCAAGGTACTAAATCCACAGAGACTTAAAGCTTTCCCCTCTCTTTACGCTAACTTGTTGTAGTTTTCTGTTAAATACTGTTTTGGTCTCACATTGTTTGCAGTCGTGTCTCCCAAACAGCAAAAGACTCAGATGTTTATCATTAACTGGTGAGCAGCAACAAAAGGAAAGTACACATTGATTTTGTTTAGCGTTTTGATCAACAGTTTGCAAAAACACTTCAGATAAATGTTTCCTTGAATCAACTGGAAAGAGGCAGCTGCTTTCTTGCAGGTTCACCATATTGACTTTTTTAAGGGGATAATATTTCAGGTTTTGTTTACAGCTTGTTTCAGCTGCCCTCCGGTTACTCAATTGTCAGGAAAAAATTATTATTGTTCTCCCACCAAATTGTTGGTCTAAGGCAGCAAGTTTTTACAGAAAAGACACCTTATGGTGTTTAGCACAGCAAAAACAGAGGATGTAAAAAGTATTTATGGACTGGTTGAGAAGTTAAACACTACTTTTTATGAAACAACAAAAGCTCTGATTTAAGAAAGTTGTTTATCATCTGGTTGTTCTCTGTTTGTGCTATCTAGGGCCCAGACTCCGGCAGCACCACTCTCACCACCAGAAACCTTCAGTAGAGAGGCACTGAGCTGCTGCATGTGGAGGAAAAGCCCCAATAGGGAGAAGAACCAGTGGCTCTCTGCTCCTGTCTGTCAGGGAAGGAATGTGTGGAACCAAACAGAAACACAGCGCACCAGACCATGAACTGACCCCCTCTGTTGTCAAATCTGGGTCCATCCTCTCCAGGCTCCACAACACATCAGCTATTCCTCCTGAACCCTCTCTGTTGACTGCTGCGTGTCACCTGACGGGTTGCTCTCTGTACAGTGACATTTCTACTGCGAGGTCTCATATTTCTGCGTCGGTTAGTCGTTCACAACTCTCCAACACATCCCCAACTTACCAGGAAGGTATGCCATGCAAAAAAAAGGTAAAGTAAACTTGCTGATCACATTTTAAAATTTCAATTCGATCATTAAGAGAAAAACAGAAACATTTGGAAGATGGCGAAACATGGATGCGAGCAAATGCAAGACGTGTAAAACCATTGTTTATTCATGAAGAAATAAGAGTAGAAAATCCTCTATTTATTTTGTGTTACCCATTAAAAAGGCGCTTAGGCACAGTCAGTACTGATGGATAATGTAACTAAAGTCATTGTTGTCTAACCCAGAATATTTCGCATAGTATGTTGCATGTAGTACATTTGATTTTTGACCTGTAAATGAATTACTTGCTTCAAATTGAAAGCTTGTAATGGTTTTGCATGACAAGCATTAGCATTCTGTTGGCATGAAATACTGTCTGTGTTACCTCTTTTCACTATGTTAGCAATATTTCATTAACAGATTAACAAAGAACTATATTGGGAGTCATATGTAATGTTTATTAATGAAATTATAACTTGTGTGGAAATGATGAATTGTACATGTTCTTGGCTGTAGAAATATTTGTCGTGGAACAGTCAGTGAATGTCTATATTTATTTATGTGTGTATTACAAAGTTTGGTTTGGATGTGTGTGAATGTGTATGTTTTTGTGTGTTTTAGTCTCAAGTTTTTGAAACCGGCAAAAAATCTTGTAAAGACATTTTGTAAAAATGGAATTGTAAATACAGTCTTATGTTACATGTTATTTTTCCATGGTAGAAACTGTACAAAATGCGAAGTAATAAAATAATCCTTAACCAGTTCCTCTTTGCTGTTTGTTCAATTGAAGCTGCAGCGAGCAGTAAATAGACGTGCCTCTCCTCCCAGCGCTCAGCGATTTGGCAGTTGCTTTTGCTTATTTTGGCTGTAAAACCCGGCGTGGCAGACCGTGTACAGCGTATTCACTGATCGGCCCAGGAGCCCAAGACATGCACTCTGCAAGTCCAAATAAACAGGTCATCCAGCTCAACAGCCCGAGTGAGGTTACCATCTCAGAGGTCGGGCTCCCCTCGACAGAATGCCCTGCTTCTCTGAGCACTTGTGAGTTTGAAAAGCATTAAATCCCCTCTCTGCTCGGGAGCCTCTCACCCCTATAAAATGAAAAAGTGGAAATGTTTACAAGAAAATAAAGCTAAGAGTGACGCTGAGAGTTAAGCCTATGCATGGAGGGGAACGATTTTTGACTTCCTTGTGCATGTCAGATGAAAGCCTATTTATGCACACAGACAATAATCCTTAGAGGAGTGCTTGCGGGAGGCACAAAAATAGTGCATTTATTTAATATTTTTTATCTACTGGATTTTAGAGGGGTTCTTTACGGCAGGAAAATACTGCATATTTATGTGGATGGTGTCATTATATTGAAGTTGATTTTACAGACAATTTAACCTGAGTCAGTAGAAGTTTATATAACTTCCGAACCAAAGTGCTGTTCAAGCTTGTAAAACATTAATAAAAACAAACATGAGTCAAAAGAAAGATTAAAACACGGTCAATAACGTAATAAAAAAGTAAATTGGAGCAAAGTTATGGTTGAAGAATTTAATGTAAGGACGCCAAGCTCAACTGTAATTAAAGGCCAATGCAGAGAGGTGCGATTTAATGAGTTAGAGCTCTTCAAGGGGCTGAGCAGTTTCTTCTACCAATAAGTAGACTGTCCCACAGCATTGCAGTTCTGGTCTGCATCGTGGGATATCCAAAAGCATCCTGTGTTTTGACCTCAGTGACCCAGCTGGAGCATGCTCGTATGAAAACTCAGACAAATATGACAGTGTCAGCCCATGCCAAAGGTTTCAAAACCAGTAATGAAATCCCACACTGGATCCTGAAGCCAGTGGAGACGAGTCAGAGCTGGTGTGATGTGATCTTATCATCTTTGTGGCGACATGCAGCTGGGTTTTGAACCAGCTGGGTGCAACAAAGAGACGACTGATCACCAACATAATACATAGAGTTGTAATAATCCAGGCGAGTTGTGATAAACTGTGGAGGATAAGCATGTGACTGACTCTCTTAAACTCTTTTACCTTCACCAGAAGTCTAGGTGTCCATTAACTTCCAACATAAAACTAGTGGAGCTCTGCCTCTTCAGTAATCAGTGTCATGGATGTTTGTTTGTTTGTTTGTTTGTTTTGACGCTGCACTCTCTTTGAATACAGTTTGGCTTTTTTGAATACTCCTGTGCTCATCAATGTCACTCTTTTTAGGATTTCTGGATTTAACAATCTCTATAAAAGGAGGCAGAGGTGCTGGGTAATATTTTGCATCACTTAGCAACAGTACAGAGAGGTAAAAGGTTCTCTTAAAATTGAGGTTGTGGGTGCTGCCAGTACAAAAATGTCATCAGTGTGCACAGGCCCTTATCCTTCATTGGAACAAAAGCCTTTAAAAACCTGCTGCATGTTGCCCTTGTAAACATCAGCATCTTAATGACTTTTCATCTTCTCGCTCATCAGAGAGTTAGCTTTTAAACCATTTTATTCAGGTTTTTCCTTCATATTTGAATATAGAGTTTAAAAAGTCAAAAGATTTCAATATGACCTCTTGGTTTATTAAGAAAATGAAAGCGTGAAAGGAATGGATTAGCGATTTTTGGTATTTTTTTGATTGGATTCAAGAATAAATGTCAACAGTATTTCTCAAAAACCATCAAAAGAATAAAGTGAGAAAGAGTTCACCCATGAAGAATTGAATAAAAAAGTTTGTGTCACTAGCCTTTCCTTAGAAAAAAAATTATTCTTTAAAGGTAATACTTGAGCTTTCTTATGTTTGCATTTGAAAAGTTGTGTTGATGCAGTTTCACAGGTCGTGCTTTCAAATAGTCAAATATTATCCTGTGAGCTACTGGGGAATGCCTGACTTCCTGTTCAGCTGGTCACGGTTAATCAGTGTCAATTCAGCACTGAAAACATGTCAAAAAGAGAAAAAAAAGAGAAATCTTCCTCTTGGCTCCACGCTTGCATGTTGTGTAAGGTATGTTTGTTTTCATAAGTGTATGTTTTTGTTTTCATAAGTGTATGTTTTGTGAGGAGGGGTATCTGCCCAGATGTTTGGATCTGGCGTCTGTTCTTATCACCATTTTCTGCAGCGAGACACAAATAATTCAGGGCGGTTGTTTTCACACACTCAACCTCTTCAGCCAGTCAATGCTTCGCCACTCACTTCTCAGGGACGTTGTTTATGTACAGTTCTATTATGTCACAGGAGATTAGTTCCTCTTGGTCTGTGCACGCTAATCCCTCTCTCTTTTCCAGGAGCCGGGCCAGTATTTAGCCAAGGCTCCTTTCTGTGCGAGCCAGCCCAGCCCCTCTCCCTTTCAGGCTGTCACAGTCCCCCCTCTACACACAGCGAATACCATGGCCCTCAAGTGTGAAAACCTGCAAACAAAAGGGCCTCTAGCCTCTTTTCAGGCATGTTGCGAGACGTCCAAGTCTCGGAGGACATAAAAGAAGGAGAAAAAAACGCAACAACTAAATAATAGGCTAGTCGTCGGCATAAAAAGCTTCTCCTCTGATGGTACAAGGCCAGTGAGGGCTTATTCACTTTGCATGACATTACATCCCTATTGTTAGAGTCAGGCTGGGGATATGGCTTTCAAATTTAAACACATATTTCTGCAAACAGTGTTATTCATCTGGCTCTCTGAATAATCCAGGCCAGTCAAATATTTACCCGTCTTCTGCTTGACATTAGCCCCTTTTATTACCAGAATTGAGAATAACACAGTGAGTCCATTCAGAGAGTGCAACAAAGATAGGCTGTTTCTCCCACACATTTCCTCTGACCCTTTAGCACCCGTTCTGCAGATTAACATTGCAATGAGCCATGCATCACTATTTATCAAATTTAAGCCACTTTTATGGGTCATTTTACAATGGAGGACAGGGCGAGTGTAACATTACTCCTGAAAGGATGGGTGGAATTTAGGTTTTGATGATAGCTACAATCCTATGAATTGTGAATCCTTTGAAGTTCAAATGGATGGACTTCATTTTCCAGTTTTTGTTGACGGCATCCACGCATCCTGCACAACTTGAAGGCCTCACATGCGAGTTTCAGGTCAAGGCGTTCTCTCCAGATTACAACCACCTGGACCACATCCATTTCTCCTTCGATATGATGAGTAAGAATATATTGTCTTTTAGATGGATGAAAAATAACCAGTGTTTCCTCCCCCCTCTATTAGGGAAGGCAATGTTGCTTTAATGCGGTGGTATGGTGAGAAATCTGACCTCGCCCTGGGCAGTGGCATGTTTCTGGTTAGGCTCCGGTGATCGGGGACCAGGCAGGGGACACATGAAAGGATTTCGCTGTCAGGCCGCAAAGATGTTCAGTCTAAGTCTAATGAAGACCAGAACACATGAACAGACCTGAGAACATGCATGCCACACATTATACAACTGCTCCTGCTACACAGCAATGTGGACAAGCTTAGCTCTCCTCTCCTGCTGACAAACCGAACAGTCTGATAAGCACTTGTGTCTGTTTGGATTTAAAAAAAGCAGCACGACCGGGATGTTAAAGTAAAAACATCGCCACATCCAAAGACAGACAGATAATATGTTTGTTTTCTCTGTTTTTCATTTTAGCAACAGTTTCTGTGCCCGTACGACTCCACAGGGAATTTGGTTTCCTTGTCTCCGTGCCTGGAAAAGGTTTTGTTCGTGTATACTTTGGATGAAATTAAAGATGTGCCATCCTGAATCGTGCACGGCTGAGCTGCTATAAAAACACCACAACAAAATTATTTCATATAGAAAAGGTTACCAGCTTATAAGATGCACCTGTGCAATCAAAAGGAGTCCAATAGAAGAGCTTTCCACTGATTTAAATCTCATAATGTTCCCCTAATCAGAGCTGACAGCGTGTCTGAGAGCTGTTGATTCAGCTCTATGGTAACTTTGTGGCACTTGGACTGGAGCTGTAAGTAATGTGGGGCCAGGGGAAAATATTAAATCACCTTACAATCTAATTAATACTTGGAGTTTTATTGTCAAAGTAAATGTATCAACACCACAATGGAAAAGAAAGAAAAAAAGTAAAAGCCCTGCACTCCTGATATTCTCAAAAAAACATTATCCAACTTCAGTGTATTTAAGGATCCTACCAGGAACTTTCTTTAATGTTTTATCAACAATGGCAGCAGAAATTAAGCTGATATCATACAAAATAAGAGGTGTAAGGACATTTCAATCACAGAGGTCAATCTTTTTGGGTTTTAAAAGTTTTGATTGAATGCATAGGTCAACAAATGCTGACTGTATTAGGTGATAAACAAACTATGTCCATCATCTTATAACTATAATACTATGTTACTGTTTAATGACGGTCGTAATCACCAAGGTGGTGAAGACTCTGTGTGACCAAAATAGGATGATGAGGATGATAAAGAGGACAGTAATCACGAGGACAGTCAGAATGAGCAGCATTATGGTTACCAGTTTCACTTACAATCTGAATATAAGCCGCTCCAGTCATTTACTCTGTGTCTCAGGCTACCACAGCTTGAGGGCAGCTGCTAGCCAGCGAGAACTGCATGCTGCCCTCAAGACTGTGCTTTAGGTCAAAGTTTTGAAGAATAGACATGCCTCAGCTAAGAGAAGTTTTTGCCAACAGCAGACCTAGTTTGTAAAACCACAATTGTTTTTATGTGAGAAATTGTGATTGATTGGAGGTTGTTGTTGTTGCTTTATTCATTTGTTTCTCTTTATACAGAATATATAGAAGTCCTTGTGCCTGCATTTTACACCTAGCAAAGTGCACA